GAGGTGGTTTCCTATTGTCCTCTGAAACGTGTTCTCTGCCTCCATCTTAGCAGATTGAGAAGGGGAACATTTGCTCAGCTGTATTTCCCTCTGGGTTTTTATGGTTCTTTTGGTTCAGAAAAATTGTGGAAGTATACAGCCTGAATATCCTTCCTCAGAGCACTGAGTTGCCAGTGTGGCTATTCTGGGGTGCAAGCTGTGGGGAGGATAGGGAATGGTGGGTATTTTACAAATATTCTGTTTTGTAGGAGTCTTTTATTATACAAGGTTAATCCTTTAGGATGATTTTATCTATACACTGGGTCCTTTTTTGTTTTCTATCCAGTTACATAATTTCCTGATAACTTACTGTCCAGTGAGACTGGCTTTCCTGAGACTTGAAGTTGTGGCTTATATGGGAATGAGACCACTAGAACTGTTAAGTGTTCAAATCCTGTATCACAGCAGCACTAGGCCTTAAAGGTGCTTTTCATTTTGAAGATGGATGGGGGGTGTTTAGCTTGTGAGGTATAACAAAGCAGCAATAGAGTGTGGTGAGATCATTGGTAAATAGCGGTGAAGTTTTTTTTTTTTCATTAAGACATAATAAGTTAGACAAATTCTGTGTTAGTAAGCACAGGCCAAAACCAGTTGAAAGCCATAGAAGAAAAAAAAAATTCTCAGGTGATGCAGGAACAAGAGGAATGCTTCTTGAAAAGTGGTCCTGAGATCTGTCTGCATAGTAAGAACATACTAAGTGTGCATCAAAGAGATAACTTTCTTGAAATTGCTTGTGTGATGTGTACAATGTGCTCTCTTAAATCATGCTCCTCATATTGCCTAATTTATTTATGACTTCCTAAAAACTGTGCCGTAGGTAACAGGGCTTTGGCCAGAGCTTTCAAATGCATTAACACTGGAGTCATTGCTTTTCCTGGAGTTAGTTAAAAATCATTTTATCAGACTCAAGTGCTTGAAGTGTCTGGCTCCTGCTGCATATGCCTAGAAGTACATAAGGTTTGCAGGACTTATAGCTTGTATAGAATCATCGTTCAGAGAAAAAGTAACACAATGATAGTTTCTCTATGAATTTCAAAATAAAGCATATATTCTGTCCCTGTGGTTAATCTGAAATAGATTATTAGAGATTATTTATAGAAAAAACTAAAACACCATGTTGAGAACACTATGAAAAATCTGTTCTCTGTGATTCCCCCACCCCCACTATGGGGAAGGCTACTGTTTCTCCTTTCAGTAATAATCATGGTTTGCCTTGGGGTTGTTTCTCTAGGCAAACAATTGTTTTATTTAGCATTATGAAGCTTTTATATTGTGCAAAGCCCATAACAAGATGCTCACTTACTCTTACTGCCTGCTTAATAATCTGGGAGGTTGTTTTAATGCTAGAAATGGTCAAGTAATTAGTGTTCAGTCCTGTTAGTAAACATAATGTATCATGTTAGCAACTTCTGGGACTAATAAACCTGTTGGGTCCACCCCTGCTTTTATCTGATCATTTGAATAACATTTCTAAAAGGGTCTTTTAAACTCTGAAGCATTTTCTACAGAACTTCAAAGTAGCACAGTATTGTAACATTCAGGGAAAGTGTGAAGAATTAATTTCAAAGTAGTTATTATGTGACCTAAGAATGATTATTGCATGGTATTTGTTTCCCCAGTTTAGCAGATGAAATTAAACAAGGTAGGATACTTTAAGATGTTACCACCAAGGGTTGGGGTGGGGTAGGGTGGGGTGCACAAGCTAGCGTGCTGCTCAGGAAGCTTTCGGAAGAGTGATTGTTTCTGTCCATTTCTTTTTGCTGGTTTGCTGACTTGTTGAGGATTAATTGTTGCCTTACAATGTTACTGAAATAAACTTTTTAACATACTGGTTAGTATCTTCTTAATAGAAAATAACTTTGTTAATTGCTTACTTTATCCTCATATTTCGGTTATTTCATGTTTTATGTAGCTTTTAATTAATGCTAAAGACATATATGGCTTATATGGGTATAATTGCTATTTCAATGAATGAAATGAGCAAATAACTCAGATTATTTCAGGTGAAATCTTTATACCTTGGAATGAAGTTCATGCATCTGAATTTTATAGAACTTAAATGAAATTGTTTGGTAAATGTTGAACTGTAGCATATTTAGCAGTTTTAAATCATCAAACGGCTAATAATGAATGATGGTGGGGAGGTAGGGCTAGGAGAGAGAGAAGAAATTACTTCTCAGTGACAGTAGTAACACACTGTTTAATCTCCAGCCAAGGGAAGGGCAGCACCATTCACCAAAACAGAGCACACACTTCTGATTCAAAGACCTCTTTTCAGGTTTCCTGAGTGAATTCTTTCAAGGTGAAATGGCCAGACAACTTCTTATTATACCTCCCTTTCTTTTAGGGCAAATAAACTCAAGATGTACTTGTGCCTTGTATCTGTTTAGTTGAAATATTTATGGAATTTTGAAGTACATCAATTTTTTTTTTGAAATTACTACTTCCATATTTGATTTGCAAAAAAATTCTTTTTATCTAATTTGGCTCTACACCATGACCAAGTGGGAATGCAAGGTTAGGTTAACGTTCAAAAATCAAATCTAAAAAAGGGCAAAACACACATGATTATCTCAGTAGATGCAAAAGTGTTTACAAATACAAAATCCTGCCAGTGATAAAAAAATTCCCAATAATCTTAGGAGGCAACTCAACCTGGTAAAGTCAGTTATAAAAAACCTGCAGCTAACATGATAGTTAATGATGAGAGACTGAAATCTTTCCCTGTGAGATCAGGAAGAAGACAAGATGTCCATTGTTGCCATTGTTATTCATTGTTGTCCCGGTGGCTTTAACTATGGCTATTTGGCAAGGTAAAGAAAGGCATCCAGATTGAAAAGGTTCAAACTAGCTGCAAATGACACAATCTATATAGAAATCTATTTATCTAAGGAATCTACATACATACACACACCAGTGGAACAACAACCTTACAGTTATTGTATAATACACCACTACTGACCTCATTATCAATTTCTATACAAACAAAACAAAAATGAATTTCATTTACAAGAGCATGAAGAACAAAATCCTTAGGAATACGTTAACAAAAGCACAAACCCTTTAAACTGAAAACTACAAAGAGCATTGCTAAAAGAATTTAAAGACCAGTATTCCTAAAACTGATTTGTAGACTGAATATAACACCTATCATCAATCAGCTGACTTTTTGTTTAGTGCAGAAATCACAAGTTGATCCTAAAATTCATATGGGACTTCAAAGGACCCAGAAAAGCTGAAATGGCTTTAAAAAAAAAAAATGAAGTTAGGACTCACACTTTCAAAATTTTCTAGAAAGCAAGAACAGTCAAGAAAGACAGCACGTTACTGTTGTAAAGGATAAACACTGAGATCATTGTAACATACATATGACTGTTAATTGAGAGTCTAGAAATAAACCTAGACATTTAGAGTCAATTGATTTTTGGCAATTCACTGAGAAAAAAAATCTCTTCAATAAATGGTGCTCAACTGAATATCCATTTGCAATAGTTATTATAAAATTTTTATAGATAGGAAAACATAAATAAATGTAATTTGAATTAGGGAAATTGTTTCCACTGTGAATGGAAAAAAGACAGAATGAGGAAATTCTTGCAAATCACTTATCTGGTAAGGGCCTAGTATTCAAAATATAGAAAAAACTCTTGCAATTCAATGATATATGAAAAGATGTAATCAATAAATAGTAAGTTAAAATATAAATTATACTGACATACCCATTTCATTTACAACTTCAATGGCTTTGACCAAAAAGGTAGACGACAAGTTTTTGTTGTAGAGACTGGGACCTCCATCCACTAGTAGTGGGAATGTTAGTGCAGGTACTCCAAAAACAACAAAAAATTAAACAATCATCATATGACCCACAGTTCCACTGTCAGTCCCTTGTTATCCATAGGAATACCTTCCAGGATCCCTATGCAGTGGATTCCTGAAATTATAATGGTACCTGATTTATACCATGTTTTTTCTATACATACACACCCATGACTAATTTTAACTTATAAATTAGGCACAGTAAGATATTAATAACTACCAGAACAATTATAATAATGTTATTTAAAACTATTTAATTTTTCATTTAATATTTTTGGACTTCAGTCTAGTTGACTGATGGTAACTGAAGACTCAAAGTAAAGCTGCAGTTAAGGGGGGGGGGAATTTACAGTATCTGAATGTTCATATAGCCCCAAAGAAGAAAAAAAAAAAACCCAAATAAACCCTCAACTGCTGAATTGATGAATTAATTACATTGACACAATGAAATAATATTCAATCTTAGGAAAGGAACTAAGATACTTAGTAAAGGTTACACAAGTAAAGGATGTCAGATATAAAAGTCCATGTTTTATATGATCATGAAATGTCCAGAATAAACAAATTCATAGCAACAGCAGATTTAGGAATGCAGAAAAATGGGAAAGTCAAAATAATTTTTAATCCCCTATATTAGAGAAAGATGCTCAGTCTCCTGTACACTTCAATATAAAATTGCTTGCTTGATGGAAGTCATATGGCATAAAATTTTCTATCATTTATTATATTTTGAACATTTTCCATGTTATCTTAACTGTTCTAACATTCTGTTATCTGGCATTTAGGATGCTGCCAGCTCTACATTTACATATGAATATTCTAAATATATCTGCCTGAATTTATTGGCATTTCATAAGGAAAAACTCCAGGTAAAATTGTAAAAATAAGAAGTTTTTTTGAGACAGGGTATTGGTATGTTGCCCAGGCTGATCTTGAACTCCTGGGCTCAAGTCATCGTCCCATCTTAATCTGCCCAATAGTTGGGACTACAGATTTGTGCCACCACACCTGGATCAAAAGAATATTTTTGTTGTTTTAATGTATGTGTGTGTGTGTGTGTGTGTGTGTGTATATATATATATATATATATATATATATATGTACACTTTTTGCTGTGATCTGAGATGATAAATAAACAGAAGTTTGTGTAATAGTTTTATTGCCCTTTGCCAAGTAAAAAATACACATTACAAAAGTAGCAGCTTTAATTACAAGCGAAGGTTGACTCTATCCCCCAATGAGTTCTTGTTTTGGTATCAGCAAATAACTTAATTGTATCCAGTAACCTTTCAAATCACTATACCAAATATTTAAATTCACTGGTTAAAATTATGGCTTAAACAGTTGATATACATAAATCAAACAATACAGCAAAATAAAGTATGAGTTTTTAAAAAGAATTAAGTGGTTATACACCAAACAGAAAATTTTGATAAACTTGCCAATTTTTTTTTTTTTTTTTTTTGCCCTGGGCTTCCTATTTGTATTAACTGAAAAGTGAATATTTTATAGAAGAAAAGTCTCATTTACAGTCTCAACTATGGGAATAACATTAACAGATTGGTGCCCTGCTTTCCAGAATGAGATGAAACCAGCACAGTTTTATTTAGAATATTTGAAAAGATCACAGCTGTTCATAATGGTAAACCATTTTTATTGATTGACTATTCACACCAAACACAAAAGATGCTGGTTCTTCTCCCTAATGGAATAGGACTGAAGAAAAATTTCAGTTTAGTTTCCTGGTGTGCTGCATGTAATCACACAAAAACATATTCTATCAAAAGGTTCAGAGGAAAGATGGTTTGAAACAAAGACTTAAATAAAAATAGCACCAGAAGGACCAGGTACCAATTGTCACACACTCCACCTATTCAGGAATTTTATTATGTGAAATTATTGCACTTGTAAAAAGTAAATGATAGTATATTACCAAACAATAATTTTAAATGGTTGGTGAATTTTGAAATAAGCAATTTTAAAATGATTTTGAGTTTCCCTTCAAAGGAAATTCAGCTAAGACAACTATTTACTTTTTAAAAACAAGGACAGAGGACCAAGTTTTATTTCTAAATTATAACTGTACTGTGAGAAAAGAGTTTTTTTTACATAGTGGTACGAATTTGGTCCACATCAAATACATTGTTATAAAAATAAACAAGTTTTCATAAAAAATAACATTGCATTCCTTGTTCAAATTGCACAGTACAAACAAGCTATCTAAATTAATACTGTTATTAAGTAATTACAATTACAGTGGATATGTGTTTAGTCTGAAGCAGCTAAGGGGTATGCAGTTTTGTTTTCATAATGTAAAAAAACCTAAAATTTAAGTCATGTCTAGAAACACATAAAATCTTTTTAAAGTTTACAATGAAGAATGCATTATTTACATACTAATTTTTAGTAGCCGTGATAATACAGGATTCAGCAATCTATTTACATAAAAGCCTATTTTTATTCAATTTACAAAAAAGCAATAAATAAGAAACTACATTAATTTGCATGAAACCTGTTATACTTCATGATCAATGGGACCATTGCTGTTACTTGATGACTGAGCCAATAAATCTGTATTCTTTATGAAGACTGTTTATTTCTTGGAAGAAGAGCGAGCCCAGTTTTTGTTCCAAGTGTATCTATCTAAAGTCATGCAGAATCCAGCATAAAACCTTACAAATTATGATACAAGCCTTAAAAATATGAATAGTGCCTTTGAGTATATTTACATAAGAATATTCACAGAAAAGATACAGTTCTTTGATACAAAATAGTTTAGTGGTATCAGCATAATTGATAAGAACCCCTCACACCTCTGCCCACATTATCTAGTAGGAATCAAGCTTGCTGAAGCAGGCACATTAACTCCCAGATAAATATCTTCCACCAATTCGGGGATGCGATTTAACAGGCTAGTAAAGCCAAAGAATGTTTCCATCACACTGGCACATATTGTGCAAGGGGAGGCCCTCTACTCAAAAGGACCAATTAGGGAGTCCAGCAAGCTGTACTCAAGGAAGCAAACAGGTAGCTCAAGAACCCAATGAGCTACAGCAAGCACCTCAGCATTTATTTTTTAAAAAGCATTCTACACACGCAGAACCAGAAAACAGAGGCTGTAAGTACTAAAAAAGTATGCTTATCTGGAGCAAAACAATCCCATAGTTTAAGAGGCCCCAACCTTTGAATAAAATCAAAATATTCTCATGTACATCTGTATAATTCTCTTTTATTACTTTCCACTGCAGCTTAAAAATTTTTATGAAAGATACTTTATTTGATATCACATTTTTATGGAGTCAAAGATATTTCTTAGAGAAAGAGTTCATTAAAATCTGATAATACTTAACCATAGTCTCTGAGCTGAGTTCTTTCCCCTGTTAAATAATTCAACTAGGTCACAATGTACTCATGGTTGCACACTGCTGCTAATTAATACTGCCTGTCATGATGTTACCTCTATGTTGTTAGGACACAGAACAGTCATAAGTCCCATCCTGAAATGTTTCTTCCTCCTGTGCTCGGGTTGTGTCCTCTTCTTTCCTGCTGACCATACTGCTAACACCAACTTCACTTTGGGGGATGATTCCATGGCTGGAGGAGGCTCTGCTCTCCTCTGCCCGGGGACTGGTCTGTTCAGGAGTCTTACCCACAGCAATTGGCTGGAAGGCATCAGGCTGGATTTGCTCTTCTGTTATCTCACTGAGCTTCTGCAGTTGCGGCTTAATGATGTTTAAAAATGGCTTATATCCAGGGCTAAGTAGAGAGAAAAAACTATTTCTCATCTGCCATATTTCAAAAGACTTGGTAAATCGTTATGGATGAACTATTAAATATTGATACAATAAGGAAAATAAAAGATTATGAGGGAAAAGAAGGCTTCTTGAGTGCACAGAGGGAGCTGTACATAGCATAGGCTGAGTCTTACATTCCTGAGCAGAAGGAGCAAGGACTGACATTTAAGGCCATTTTACAACTAAAAATACTTCTATAGTTGAAAGACCATACTACCACTTTAGATTAAAAAAATTACCTTTAGAGAACATAGTATTTGGCAAATAGGAAAACTAGATCTAAATAAGGGAAATAAATAGAACCAAATTCATATATAACTGGTGGCAAAGTTCAAGGTTCTGAACTCTGATCTACTCCTATTTAAAAATCAACACAACTGTAAGTTTTTGTCTTTTCAAACAGATTAATCCAACCATTACATTAACAAAATGGTTGGGTATAGAATGATTATTAAAGTATCCTTAAAAACGAACATGAGAGGGGCTGGGGTTGTGGCTTAGTGGTAGAGCACTTGCCTCGCATGTGCAAGGCCCTGGGATCGCTCCTCAGTACCACATAAAAATAAATAAATAAAATAAAGGTATTGTATTCAACTATAATTTAAAAATAAATATTTTAAAAAAGTGAACATGAGAGATGGGGCTGGGGCTGGGGTTGTGGCTCAGTGGTTGAGCGCTTGCCTCCCATGTGTAAGGCCCTGGTTTGCTCCTCAGCACCACATAAAAATAAATATAAATAAATGATAGCATACACCTGCAATCCCAGCAACTCAGGACACTGAGGCAGGAAGGCTGCAAGTACAAAGCAACTTAAGGGGGCCCTAAGCAACTTAGCAAGGCCCTATCTCAAAGTAAAAAAGAGCTGGAAATGTGGCTTAGTGGTAAAGCACTTTTGGATTCAACATCCAGTACAATAAACAACAATGAAAACAAAAATATATAAGCATTTTTATCCTACTAGCCTGAAAAAATAAAAAAATAAATGTCCAAACTACAACTAAGCCTTAATGTGAAAGAACACATTACCAAAGATCACCAAAGGAATACAAGAAGCCTGTGGACACCAGCACTTACCAATCTGTAGAGGCCCATCGGTCCACCGCATGCAGCCCTGTCTTTATGTTCTGTAACATTTCTCCATCTACCTCTGAAGACTGTGCAATAACTAAAATCTGATTGATTATTGAGGATTCTCTAAGAATCAAGCCTATTACAATACACCAGTCCAGACATCCTGCCTCCATGAAAATGTGTAGCAAATACCTATAAATGAAGCAGAAGCAAAATATTTATGCTAAAAAGGATCTTCAAGTGTAGAGAAGGCAATAATTATTAGAAAAGTGGCTTCAGTACTCCATTTATACAAATACCCTGAGTAAGCTTTCTGTACTTTCAAATAGCTGAGAAACTCACCTAAGTTGGACTTGGGATTTGTGAGGGCCTTTACTTGCCAGCTCCATGGAGATATGTTCTAGCTCAGATTGAGTCAAACTGAGTGTAGAGAAATTTTCATCCACCATTGTCCAGTCCCCATCCACCATGGAGCTACTTTCAGTTAAGTCTGTGGCTGAACCAATGCTGCATTCATCACCTGATGGAGAATTTCCCAAAGTTATAAACCAGTTTAGTTTAGAAAATGTTTTCCTTTAAATATTAGCTGTTTCTCAGATGTTGATTTCTCCTTAGGATTTTGAAACCAAAACATGAAATCTACTACTAAAATGGCCATGTCATATGAAAAATAATAAATATTAAAAAAAAAATCAGTGGAGCAATAAAGCTTGGAACAGAAAGACACATTACCACTAGGAAGTAGTCTTCCTTGTTCCCCAAAAGCCTCTAGCTCAAATTTGATCAAGTCTTTAGGTTCAAATATTTATTTACAGGAAATAGCGGAAACTTAAACCAAACCATGAAGATGCAATCAGCAAAATTCATTTCATGAATAAATCCACAGAAGCAACATTCCTCAATGAATAAATTGCAAGAGGTGGGGGATAATCACTTAAAAATTAAAAACAATCACAATGTTTGAATCTTATTTGGATCTTCATTAAAAACTAAAAATTTGTAACATTTATGAAACAGCTGCGAATCATAATACTTAAAAAAAAAAACCAAAACAACAAAAACCTCAGAAAATAAGTGTTGGTGAGGATGTGGACAAATTGGAACTCTTAATGCTTGGTGGGAATGTAAAAAAGCATAGTTGCTATGGAAAACTATAGTGATTCCTTAAAAAGTTACAAATAGCATTACCATGTTTCAGTCATCCCATTTCTGAGTATTTACTCCAAAGACTTGAAAGCCAAATCTTGAAGAGAGATTTGTACACCTACATTCACAGCAGCATTTTTCACAATAGCCAAAAGGTGGAAGCAATCAATCCAAGTGTCCCTCCATAGATGAATGGACAAACAAAATGGTTCATACATACAGTGGGATATTATTTAGATTTTTTTTAAAAAGGAAATTCTGATCATGTACAGCATATTTAAAGTACCCAGAGTAGTCAAATTCATAGAAACAAAATAGAATTAGGTTGCCAGTGACTATCACTGGAGGGAGGAATTGGGAGTTAACAGTTTTGCAAGACAAAAAGTACTATGGAGAGTGACTGCACAACAGTGTGGATAGAAGTAATCAACACTACTGAACTGTATGCTTAAAAATGGTTAAGATGATAAATTTTATGTGTATTTTACAATTTTAATTAATGGCTATTATAAGCCTCCTCATGTGGCAGCTCAGGTATCCAAACATTAGGTGAATGCCTAGTCCTCAAAATGATTGCAAAAAGAAAACAAAAAAATATCAAACCAATTACTGTTTAAACTCCTGTATTTTATAACCCTTTGCCAAAATAAATTGCTTAAAAACCTCTGTATTTTATCCATAACTGCAGAGCAGAGGTTGGTGTATGTTTTTTGTTAAATATCCAGCCAATAAACAAATGTTCTGAAGGCTAAGAGGCAAAATCAAGGATATTATGAGGAACTTACATACAGAACAAATTCCCATAGGAGTTTGTTGATGAAATTAAAAAAAAAAAAGATAATTGGTTTTTTTTTTTTTGTGTGTGTGTGTGTGTGTGTGTCACATGAGTCTACTTATAATAAAAATGGAATTCTTATGGAGATAACATTTTGTTTACTTGGGGTTAAAAGTTAATGTTTCTTTATCTTATTGCAAAGATTCATCTATTAGTGCTGATCTGTACTGAGATTTTTACCTACTTACATTTATCTAAAATAAGGCAAAATACAATCAAGTTCCTGTCCACCTCTCCAGCAGACACTACTGACTACTCCTTTAGGATACTGAAAAAAGAGTGACGGTATCTCTCTGAAATGCTACAGCACACATACTTTATTTCCAAAGAAACTGAAGAAGTAGTAGGACTTAAAATGACATTTACCTTTATTAGATAAAGGTAACAAGAAAGCATCTTGCATTTGTGGTCCATGGGATGAAGCTGCGTCTATCTCATGATGGGTGGGGCCAATGTTGCTGAGCCAGCTCTGACTTCGTTGAATATTAGAGATACCAGCATCCATCTCAAGATTCATAAAAGGGTCAGCTGATTGAGACTTTAACAGCTGCTCTCCCACTGCGGGGTAGGTACAAAAACAAAGAGATGGAGGTGGGGAGAATCCTCAAAGATTTACCCACTGTCATTTCCAATTCAGTTCTTCTACCTTCCCCCACCTGCTCCTCAATACTAAGCAATGCAAAGTCAATTACTATCCTACATTGTTTCATTCATTCAACTAAAAATATGGAATTATAACAAAAGAGAGTGACCATATAAAACATTTAAGTCATATCTATGGTACGTTCTAAGGTCTATGAGAAAGTTCTAAGGTTCTTGCCTTGGTTCGTAAGGTGACACAAAGTTTCCAAATACCATAAAAGTTTTGTTTAACAGTCCTCCTAAAATGACTTAAACTAAAAAAAGTTATATTTAAATTTTTATTTCACTCAAATATATAGTTTTACTTAGTCTTCTAGTGCAGAATATGACCCAAGACGTCAAAGATGCATTTTTACTATTTTCCTGGAATGAGTTCCATGAGGTAAATCACAAATTACCTTATCTTGAGGTCCACAACTAATCAGTTCCAAAATTCCTTCCTACAATAAGGTAAGTGTGGTAGCTTTTACATTCAGCCAGTTCTCAACTTGTTTATAGTTTAAGATAATGGTTAGATTTATGAATTAGACTTAAAGGTCAAAAGACACAGAGATATAGATTCTCCTTTATTTATATCCTTGGCCAAATGGTGAATGTTAACTCAAGATGAAAGTTGGCTTTTATTTGCTTGAGGGTGAAATGAAGACTTCCATGTCAGCTACTTAGAGTAAAATAAAATTCTCCTTATAAAAGTGGCAAGAAGTCTACATTACCTGTACGGTATTTTCCATTTTTGAAAGGAGAACTGATAGAAGAGGCAGGGATGATGGGAAGTGGCCACAGGAAATCTTTGTGGAGTCTCTTGAGGGCTATCACAAAGTTGTCTACCCGGGCAGCTCGGGTACGTTCTTTGCAGAGCCAGCTAATTAGTTCAAAGCCTAGCTGGGCAGCAAAGCAGCCAAGGTCCTTTAACCGCACATCTTCTAAGAGACGCCGAGCATGTCTCCAGAGCATCATGTCAATATACATGTTCTCAGCACATTCACTGTCTTTGCTCCATCTATAAGTGGTAACAGAAGAAAGCTATAAGACAATCTTTATTGGAGGACTTCACATAATTTTATGCAGTAGCATTGATAAAACTGACAAGAAGGTTAGTGATCTATTTATTATTTGACTGAAGAGGAAGAAGATGTGATGATATAACATGACCTATTGAAAACTTGGAGCATAGTAGGTTCTTAAGACTGATATGTGGAATGAATATATGGACTAGAAGAAACAGGACCAGGAAGCAATAGTGAGTGGTTGAAGGAAAAAAGCAATAAATAAATGTTGTCACTGAGAAGCAGTACAGTGGATCAGTAAAGAACCCAGTCTCTGCAGTAGGACTGTCTGGATTCAGATCTTCACTCTGATTTGTTATGTGTTATAATTATATAGCAAATCAACACACTGATTTGTTATGTGATTATAACTATGTTTGTTTTTTTGAGCCTGTTTCTTCATCTGTACAGTGAGTACCAACCCTTACGGAGCCGTTTTAAGGATTAAAACATTGATGTATGTAAATGTTTAGAACAGCACATAGTGAGCACTTGATACGTTATTAACCAATATTTAAATTCAGGGCTCGGCTGAAAAGATACTATTTCCCTGCCAATTGTTTATAGACCTCCATGGCTACATTTTACTTGTATATAGTCCACAATTGTGTGTGTTGGTGGGGAGATTTATGGCCAGTGATAAAAGAGCAATAAAATGCCATGATAAAAGTGTTCAGTTTTTCTGTTTAAATAACAACGGAATTGGCATAATTGGGAATGATAAAACTTGGAACCAAGATGAAGAAGACAGAATGTATAAAGAAGGGCTGTCAAAAATGTAAAAGTTGGCTATATTATTTGTGGAGATTCAGACTTGTGAAGTTTAAATATTATAATTTTTCCATTTGTTCTGTATTTTGATTGTGGGGAAAAATCCAGCTTTATTCATTTCTTATTAAGAAACTTATAAAAAAATGTTCGATAAGTTCTTACTATATTAAAGACAGGTATTGTAGTAAGAATACAAACTACATAAAAGAAAGGATTAGGGAAGAGATAAACAAAAGAACATGTAACAACGCAAGAAGGGTTACAAAAGATCTTACATACCAGAGGAAATTCTAATGATTTTATAAGGTTCTGTGTAAGTTCACAGTCACCCTTCTGGAGAACAATAACCTAACTCTGGGTGATGCAGATGTTGGTCTGCAGAACACAATTCCTTTGGCTGTTTAATGACTTCTCTAATCAAAAAGTTAAATGAACGTCAAATACATGGGCACAAAATTTTTATTTTTTTGTCAAGAACTATGTAGTTGAAAAGAAGGGTAAAACTACTGATGCTCTGCTTTTGGATTATCTGTGGACTATCTGGTCCTCTGTCATCAGAGGTAAAGTCAGTAGCATTCAGAACAGATATATCAAGTCCTACTCTAGTACAAAGGCACAGAAATTATACAAAAGTACAAAAATTAACTCTGGAGGAAGGACAAATGGAAGCTTTTTGTGGGGACTCTATTACTTTTGGGAATGAAAAAAGGATTCACACTCGGATTAAGTAGTTGTTTCTGTAAGATATATAATTTATATAATGATATGTTAATTAATTTACATAATAGTTAATTTAAAAACAGGGGGTATTGGAGACACAATCTCACTAAGTTGCCTAGGCTGGCCTCAAACTTATGATCCTCCTACTTCAAACTCCAAGTCCTTAGGATTATAGACTTAATTCTATAAATGCCTTGAAATGCAGTGTGTCACAGATACCCTAAATCAGTAATGGCTATTTATTCTTTTACCTTTTTCCAGAAGGACCAGATGGCATACTTAGTGTTTTCTGTAAGTTGAATTTACTAGGAGGAACATTTTCAGCTGACTGGGATAAACTAATGCTTCGATTCCTGAAGAACTCGAATCCACCACTTGAACTGGGTTCCTATGATTACAAAGTGCAATAAAGTTAGACAAAGATGCCTTGTGGGTACATGGCATAAAGAAGTTATACAATTTTGCAACTAACCTGAGCTGTAGGTGTGGATGGAGGTGTCTCAGATTCTCCAGAGCCAATGGCTTTAAGAAATCGAATCATGTGTCGACATAGGTCCCACTTGCCTTGTTCCAATGCTGTGTTGAACAGAAGGGTGGCATGTTGCCTACTTACTGCTGGAACTTCCATATTCTACAGAAACAAGCAAGGAAGATAGCATCACTTTCATACATGATTTCGGAACATTTGAGCACTTCTTTTCTTCACACTAACCTAAACCTGAGGAATGTACCTAAAATACTGTGGGGTACTGTGGGCTTATTTTAACAATAAGATTTAAAGAAGCATTGAAAAGTACCATACAAGGAAAAGTAAAGCAGGTCTCTGCTGCTATAACATAAACTATGATTTCCTTAACTCCCATGACATGTAGATATCTTACATTATTTCATTTAGGAATTATTCTGGAGAAAAAATTTCCAATTTCATTACAGAGATTGCTGCAGGTTTAAGGAGTGACCTAGAACAAAATGCCAGCAGCATCTATATATGTATATATTTATATTTAGGCATTACATTAAATTTTTTTCAGATTAATGGATCATTCCATTTCAATGATATCATAGAATTAACAATTTAAATTAGGTGTGTTTTGCATGGCATTTAAAAATAATATAAACATTGATCAATGTAATATTACAAATGTTTCTCAAACTGTACTTACTGGAGATACAGTAATTGGAAAACTGAATTCTACTTATTATAATTTAATCAAGAGATTCAATTTCAAGCAGTAAACCTACACCACGACCATCCCCCCTCCACACACACACACACCCTTGCTTTATCCCTGGGTACAGTTTCTTTTTTCTTTTATTTGTTCTTTTTAGATATATATGACAGTAGAGTATATTTTGACATATTATATATACACGGAGTATAACTTATTCTAAATAGGATCTCATTCTTGTGATTGTACATGATGTGGAATTTCACTGGTCATATATTCATGTGAACATTGGAATGTCTTATTCATTCTACTGTCCTTCCTAATCACATCCCTCCTCCCTTCCCTTCATTCCCCTTTGTCTAATCTAATGAACTATTCCCTCCCCCACTTATTGTGTGTTGTTTATTTTGATCAGTTTCTATAATTCTCCTGTGTTCTTTAGGGCTAGCCAAGGAACCATAGAATCTCACGGCCACTAATCTCTGCTTGACTATATTCGCTGGTTTTAATCAGCTGTCAAAAAGCAAATAAGCTGATGTAAAATCTGCAGTTCAAATCAAGTTTATAGTTAGCTTGTTATCAATGAAAACAACTTTGCTGTAATTTAAATAACCTTAAGTGTAGACTATAAAATACATACAAGATTTATGTGAATAACAAACTATGAAGCCTATCTTTCAAATATGTAATGAAACAAATTTTCAGAAGTCTCAAAGAATGCATTGTTTTGAGAAAAATCATGTGTGATGAGGGTCATTACTGTGGCAGGCCTGAGTCTCTCTAGCTTGCTATGTGGAGCCAAAAATAGGTGTTGTGTTATAAATGAGGTACAATCAGAATCCCCTTAGCAATTCCACACTATAAGAAAACAAATCTATTATTTGTGGGGAGTTCAGACAAATATTGTAGTAGTATTCATTATTATGTAGTATTTTAGTAATCAAATGTTATATTTCCTATGTAATATGTACATAGCAATGTTTTACATACAATAAAACATTTCTTCAATCTTATTTAAAATAATACTTGGAATTGATTTATTTTAGGCTTATATATGAAAACAAAACAAAACAGGATAAAATACCCTTATAATGCTCCTTAATAATACTACAAAAGCTGGGCATGGTGGTGCATGCCTGTAATTCCAGTGGCTCAGGAGGCTGAGGCAGGAGGATTTTGAGTTCAAAGCCAGCCTCAGCAATAGGGAGGTGCTAAACAACTCGGTGAGACCCTGTCTCTAAATAAAATACAAAATAGGGGTGGGGATGTGGCTCAGTGGTTGAGTGGCCCTGAGTTCAATCCCTGGTACCAAAAAACAAAAAACAACAACAAAAACAATTAAGAAAAATCTGGCAAGATTGAGTTCTTCAAAATGAAAAATATAAACTGTAAAGAAAATCTGACTATTCCTTAAACATAAGCACAGTACCAAAACAGAACATTTCTTTTATTCTAAGTTTAAGCTCATTATTCTTGTATCTTTTTAAGAATAGAATTGTTACCTGTAAGATAATAAGGTAAGAGGCAGCTGTGTCCAAATCCTGAGCCATCAAACATTCTTCAAACAAGTCCTTGGGGTTTCCAACAGCTGCAAACAGGTAATTCCACAGGGCATATTCAGTCTTCCTAGCACAATGCACAACTGTCTGCAGGAAGAGGGGGAACTCGGTAATAAATTTTGCCACAGTGGGAAGTAGTGGGTCGGGAATGGGTTCCCGTGAGGTAGCTTCTTCTTCCAGCACTTCATGGAGCATGAGCTCCAGCACATGAGGGAAGTAAGGTAATGCGGCACAGGACTGAGCCAAGAGCAAGGCTTGTTCCCCGAGGTTCCTGACCAGAAGTTGACGTAGAATGTGGTGGAGGTAGATCTGAGAGGTTCTCTCCACAACACAGAAAGGGAAGAGCACCTCTAGCTGCTCCCTAGCAGTGTTCCGAGTATACAAAGAATCATAGAGTAAAGTGTCATTGACAGCACCAAGGACCAATGCATCTTCAAACAGAACCGCCAATGGATAAATATTGATATGGAAAGGCAGCATAATCCGCTGGGACAAGAAGGAATGGGGCTTGCGGTGATCCCTAGGGAAGAGGGGGAGCCAAACTTTCATCCCTGCACCACCACAGCTCAGCCAGAGGGCTTCCAGAAGGTGACGTTTTTGTTTATTTGCTCTACACGTAGTCCAGACATTTTCAACAGACTGGGCTAGTACAACAGGAGGACAGAACGGCAGCTGGAGAAGGAGACACAAGAATCAGGGTATTTTCCTGTTAAATCTGCAGGTCCTTATTTGTAGCTACTAATTTTTTTTTTTCCCCAAAATGAGAGTACAATAACTTTGAGAAAACCAAAACAACATAACCAACAACCAAAACAGAGTAACAGTACCCTGCCTTTTAAAATATATAACTTTAAATCTAAAAAGCAAAAAACCCATAAATTCCACCAAACTATTACTAATTTCCCATTAGTTTTGCAACTAACAATACCTAGGTAATGTCTTACCTGGAGTTTTGGACATCTTATTGTCATTTGGGGACTTATTCTTCACAAACAGCCTTATTCCCAGGGACTTAAATTTTACATACTTTCTCAGTTTTTAAATCACAATACTCTCTTTTAATTCTTTTATTCCTTCACCCTAATCTCATACCTTTCTCAAGATTTGAAATGACTTTCCCTTTACTCACAAGTTTCCTTTGGTTCGGATTACTGTCCTTCTCCCGGATCTGAGGACCTGACCTGTCCCTCTGCATCATGATGAGCTGCCCTGCAAGGTTCAGCATAATGCTCTCTGCATCACGTGCCTGAAATTTTAGAAAAGAAAAATGGGTTCATACTAATTTATAGGTTTTTTTTGGTGTCCCCCCAATCCATAAGTTATGTAGATGAAACAACCAACAGTATTGATTGAGGTTGTACTAATAAGCTCTGTGGGAATACAAGGAGCTTTCTGGCTAGAGTGGAACAAGGCTAATTAATGAACCATACCAGTGAACATAAAATTGAAAGTAGAGCTGAATCTTGGAAAATCTAAGAGAACTTAAGTAGTTCATAAAAAACCAGAGATTATTTTATTATTCTAGCTGGCACTGCTTAAGAAGACATAAAGGATGAGGTGGGAAAGATTAGAAAACATACATGGGTAGAAGAGAAAGGGTTGGTACTCTGGTTAAAGCATGAAATGTAAATAAAGACATGGAGCTAGGATAGAACAGCTCTAATGGTAAAGTGAGAATAATTTTGCAAGACTAGGGATATTATGAAATTAAAGCTGGAGAGCCACAGATCTTCAAGGGCTTAGAAATCCAGGTAAAAAAGTAACAGGAAAGAACTCACTATATATGGTTCTCAAATAAGGGAATTAATGAAAAATCTGAGTTAATCAGGATGGATTACTGGGGAGAAGCAGACACCATGGGTGTTGACAGGGATTTCTCTTTGTCTCTTTGATGGACAGCTTAATTTTAGAGAGCCTAGCATAATGATTTTCTCTTGAAACTTATGATCCAGTCTAAACAATTATGAATATTAAAGTTTGAGAAGCATTGTCTCAAAGCAAATCTCAGATGAAATCATTTTCACCTCTAAAGAGGAAAAGCATTTTGATTTAAAAACAAAAACCAAAATTTTACTGCTATACTAGGCATGAAAGGTAGAAAAAGAGTGTTGCACCAAACATTATTTCAAGTTACTGATTCTAGGTGAGGTACCACAGAAATTCAGGTTATCACCAACACAAGTTAGAAAAGACAAGTCAGGGGAGTGAAAAAGTATGTTCCTTCACATTCCATTAAACTGAAAGACCCTTGCAACTTTCACGTAGAACTATTGTGAGTGACAACTGGGTCAGAGTTGAACATGCCACCATAATAAGCATAAGGGTAAGTTTGGTAAACTGAAGGAAACATATGAGGCAAAGTATATGGAGGTGAGAGGTAGAGAGCAGAGGGCCATTGTCTGAGCTTTTTAAGGCAAGAAGAAAAACAGGGAAGCACAATAGCACACAAACCAAAACAGGAAAGAATTTCAGGAAGGAAAGAGCGACTATTCACAAGATGTAGGATTATTTCCCAGGCTCTAATGTTTGCTGGCTGGATGAATTTAAGTTGCCAGTATTACCTAGGGTTCAGTAAAGGAAAAAAGTACAGTACCTCTAAGAGTTAGGTACTTAGTAAAAAGTATCTAGATGATAGAGGAAAAACATAAATACAAACATGAATCAAGATAATATGACTGTCAGAACTGGCATATAGTCATATCCCTCAAGTACTTCAAAAAGACCCTGAAAACGTTTTACTGAAATGCACTACAATAATGACTAATATTCATAATGACCATCTTAAAATTTAAGATGATAGGTTTTACCACTACATTTGACATATTTAATTTTTAAAAAGAACATACTTCTCTCCTCTTTACAAAGTAGACTTCTTTGGGGGGCAGGGGGTCCTGGGGATTGAACTCAGGGGCATTTGCTACTGAGCCACATCCCTAGCCCTATTTTTTTAAAAATATACTTTTGGTTGTACGTAGACACAATACTTCTATTTCATTTATTTATTTTTACGTAGTGCTAAAGATTGAACCCAGTGCCTCACACATGCCAGGTGTTCTACCGCTGAGCCACAACCCCAGCCCCCTATTTTATATTTTATCTGGAAACTGGGTCTCACTGAGTTGCTTAATGCCTTGCTTTTGCTATCTGGCTTTGAACTCATGATGCTCCTTCCTCACAGAGTAGATATTATTAGTATTTACTCAATCAGTACTTTTCTATTGAAAATATTATAGGTATATGCAATAGTACTCCCAGGAAACCTTAATGAACTTATAGAACAAGCAGGGGTATCTGTATGCTCAAAATACTAAATCTGAAGGAACTCAAAACACCATTTCTTAGCCTAAAAACTTCCAGGTGGATGGTTCTGTGGGATTTTCAGGAGCTCAAGAAGCTCACTCTTTCATAAGAGGCTATTTGACTGTTGAACAGTTCTCACTGTTATTACTTTTTAAAATCTTTACTACTAAATCAAGACTTTCTTTGCTGTAGTATTCTTGGTCTTCCTCCCACACCATATATAATCAGTCTCACTTCTGTTATATTTCAACTTACTACTTAATCTACTCTTCATAAGTTAAGCATCTTCTCTTCAAGAAAGGCCTCTTTTTAAGAGGTTAAAATGGTGGATCCAGTACTATTGATACCACTGATTGCCTTCTATATGTAGAATATACAAAGTTCCTGGTTTTTGGCAATACTGAGGATTGAATGTTTTTTTGTACTGGGGATTGAATCGAAGGGCGCTTTGCCAGAATTATATTCCCAGCCCTTTTAATTTTAAGACAGAGTCTTGCTAAGTGGCTTAGAGCCTCACTAAACTGCTGAACTTGTGAGCCTCCTGCCTCAGCCTCCTACTACCATTAACCTAGATCATTATAATGGTCTCTCAACTGTTTTCCTTCATGCAGTTCTGCCCAGTTCATTTCTTTAGTTAGAGCAAACATTATAAAACTTTAAAACACTTTAAACTTGAAGATAAAGTCTAAAGTTATCAGTATTATCTATAAGACTCACATTCTCTCACATACCCTATGTCCCAGAAATTTTAACTTCCAGAATGTGTAATGTTCTCTTGTCTATAAGCCTTTGTATTACTGTTCCCTCTGCCTGAAATTCTTCCTCTTTGCTTAAACAATCTCTACTCATTCTCTAGATTTCAATTTACATTTTCTTTTCTTTTCTTTTTTTTTTTTGGTGGTGCTATGGATTAAACCAAGGGCCTCTGCATGCATAGCAAGTACTCAGTTTCCTCTGAGTTATACTTCCAGCTGAGGTTTCAATTTAAATGGTACAGAAATCCTGATTGTTCAGACTATATCAGGTTTTTGGTTTATTCTCTCACAGTAACCTATATTTTACTTTTTGATATATATATAATACATACATAAACACAAACATCATAAGACATATATACATAGATAGATATATTACAAGAACAATTAATTATTCATGTAATTTAATATTGAGCAGAAATCAGGTCTGTTTAATTTGCTATTGTAACCTGGCATATTCATACAAGATACATTCTAAATATTTAATATTTATTTGTTGAACAAATAAATAGTTTCTATGATCAACTTAAAATATTAAAGACTGAGATGTAAACTTCAAGGAGTTTTGATAATGGGATGGTACCTGCTGTGGCATTTTCAAGGTGATTCCATTCTCTGTACTCACTGAGGTCAGAGTGACAGACACTACCAGGAAAGGGTGAGGAATGTAGCGTGACATGGAGACTTCCTGAAGAACTTGAATACCAGCCATAGTATTTGAACTATAAAAACAAAAAGAAACTCTGGTAGCTCAACAATGCTAACAATGTTGTTTTGTTTTTCCTATCTGCTACTATATAGTAGTAGAATTCATGTTTAGAAAGACCCCAAAGTTCCTCTCCTCCCTAAATGTCCTTCAAAAATGATTAACAATATTGTCCTTCAATAAGGAAAGATCCAAAGAACACATATGGGAATAAGAGAGGGGGGAAAAAAAGGGACAAGACTTTGGAGTAAAGGAAAAAACAAAACAACAACTGAGGAAGAATCTGTAAAAATAGAAATATTTAAGGGATAAAAACTGAATGATTGAGGAAGGATAAAGGTTGAATTACTGAGGTTAATAATATATCTTAATTTTTATGTGTGCATTACCAATCACTGGGTTACTTCAGCAAATACATCCTTCACAGTTTTGTAAATAAATAAGTATACCTCCGAGAACAAAATAAAACTCAAGAGATGTTGTCTAAATGCTGCAAGTTGGACCAGCTGCCAAGAACAATATGAGTCCATTTGTAATAACAGCAGGACTTTTGCTTTATCCTGTTCTAGACTATTATCATCTAGCACAGTGGAAATGAAACTGAGTATGCTAAGTATATGCTTCCTGAAGCTGTCAAACCGCGGAATGCCTTCAAATTTCCCAAGTGTCTGGAACTTATTTTCAAGGCTGTGAAACATTTAGCATTTTAGGGTTTACCTCAGTTGAAACTAGATTTTTAAAAAATAAATCCAGGAAGATTAGCTGAAGATAGAGCAGGCTATGCTATCACTTTTCTTTTTTTTCACAGCTATTACATAAATATTACTAATTAAAACTCCTTGCATTTTTGACTTCTAAAAAAGGGAAACTAAATACAAAGATAGAAAAATTGTTTTGAGGGGGGGAAAAAAAAACCTACAGAGGAAAAACAATAAATAGGAACAGAAAGTGACTTGTCGTATACTATAACTTACCCATCAGATTTTCTTTCAATACTGTAAAGGCATATTGAACAGTCTGCTCTAAATACTATTACCATGTCCCGGAAGACACTCAGCAGTAATGTTTCTGCTTGTGTCTTGGTGACATGAGCAAAGGCATTGTCCAGATTTGATGTTCGCAAGTATACTCTGAGCTGCAGAAAAAAATTATAAAAATGAAATGGCTAAATACTTTAGACAAACCGTTTTTTTTGGGGGATGGTGGTGGTGCTGGAGATTGAATTTTGTGCATGTGAGGCAAGCACTCTACCAAATGAGCTATATCCCCAGCCCCCCAAACTGCTTTTTATTTATTTACTTTTTTCAAGTAATAGTTAAAAGACCTAAGAAAGCTTTAACAATAAATGAGTTCTGTTTATATTTTGGCAAGCTAGGCTCATTTTACAGATAAAAGATAAAGTGATCAAAACTGTGAATGCAATATTATGAGACATTCCTATTAGACTTGTATATTTAGATCTAATATAATGAGCCTAGCAGTTTCTCAAAACAATCATAATCAATGTATTAAAAAAATCTTATAGAGAGCGGCTGGGTTTTAGTTCAGTAGTAAGAACACTTGCCTAGAACACATAAAAATAATAAAAAAAATAAAGGTATTGTGTCCATCTATAACTAAAAACAATTTAAAAAAAATCTTATAGGGGATATCTATGAGATACAATCCTTAGAAAAGCTATCTTAGAAATCCCATTTGTTACTTAAAAAATTTTAAAAATATAGTAACCTGAAAATTTTAAAATATATTACATGAAAGAATAATTCCATTAGCTAAAATGTTAATTATTAAAAATAAAATATTTTGTTTAGTTTTCAATTGGTTATTTTCTATATAAAATTACATAGTGCTTACTAGGTCTAAAATATAAAGATCTATTATTTCTAAGAGAAAATAAAACCTACCTCTTCTTGATGGTCACTTATATTATAACATGCAAGTACCATAAAATCATTCCACCAGGCTAAACCACCAGTCACAATCATATTTTGCTCCTTAAAAGAAAAATTTAAAAAATATTTTTACTTTAATTAAGTTACCAGAAATTACTATAAAGTAACAAAGTATTCTTAGGCAAAGAAAGCTCAAATTATTTCTGCTTTACTCTCTCCCTTGAATTACTCCAGGGACTTTAATAATAACGCTTCATATTCTAAGTTTAAAAATAAATACTTCTGTAAGGAAGCAAATACACTGATGTATCATTTAGCATCATTATTCCACATCCAAGAAACATGGGTTAAAATTCTGGTTTTATCATTCATCAGATAAGCAACACCTGCTTCTCTTTTATCAAATGGTGAATAACAATAATGCCCTGTGTTGAGATAATATACAGAAAGGACCCTAAAATGACTGACACAAAAAAGCAACTATAAATGCCATTTCCCTTTTTGGGGGGTGGGGTGGGGTATTAGGTATTAAATTCAGGAACATTCAACCACACAGCCACATCCCCAGCCCTATTTTGTTTTTTATTTAGAGACAGGGTATCACTAAATTACTTAGCACTGTGCCTTTGCTGAGGCTGGCTATGAACTGGCAATCCTCCTGCCTCAGCCTCCTGAGCTGCTGGGATTACAGGCATGTGCCACCATGCCCAGCCCATATTCTTCTCCTCTTCCAATTTGATTCTTGCAAAATCCAACTTCATGCACATATGTATGTGTGTCTCATATATATATGTCTACAATTTCATCACACAGCTAAGCAGAGAATGATCTCAAAATTTTGTGGAAATTTATTCTCATCACATTTGATGGACACAATATTGAGATTAAATTCTTAAACTAAATAATTATTGTTACTGATCTTAACAAGAATAAAAATTAAGCCATTTCAATACAAGACCCATTATCAAATTATCAAATACTTCATTAAAATCAGCTCACAGATATTATCCAGTATCAGTTTCTCATATATGACTTTCAGTTTTTATAAGTAAATAGTAGTTTACTGTACAGTAAAATTATTTTATATTATAGTTCTTCTATACTTTGGGAAATTGGTTTTTAATTTCAAAAAGACTAACCTGAGTAATGTTTCCAAAAAGTTTCCATTTTTTGGTGAGTAAAGAGTAATGTGCGAAACCAAACTTGCCAACCACAGCAATATTTTGCCCAAGTTTATCAATAGCTGAAAACTGTTAAAAAAAAATTAAGAACTCTTTGCAAACTTACACACTTTAATAGGCATAAATGGTTAATACTATGTAAGGTAAACAGACTTAATAAGTGCTTGCTAAGTGAATTTTACATAAAATGTTAAATTAAAAATCCGAATATTTATAGTAATATATGACAAAATTAGATGTTAATACCCTAGCAATGTATAAAAGATCAGGTATTAAAATTTTACTCTTATCAATATACCCACTGAAGGGCTCAATTCCCAGAAAGCCTCTTGCAACAAATGCTATTCAACAAAGTTAACACCAACAAAATAACAACTCACCCGTATAGGCCAATTGCTTTCTAGATAGGTACTGGAAATCTACAGAAAATAACACATCAGTTTGGTAAGATTTATGAATTATATTTAAAATTTAAAGCATTAATTTATCACAATATGAGATTCGGCTTCCCGAGAGTGGCTATTAGTAGCAGAGCACTTGGAATTTACCATTTATATATGAGTCAATATTTCTCATCTCATGTCTTAAACAGCTCCAAATTCTAGACATCAGGTTTTCATCTTTCCCCTTCACAGTGCTTTTTTTGGGGGGGTAGTACTAAACTCAATAAACATAGACCAAAGAGTTTTTTAGAGAAGCATTCCTGAGAGTAGCCATGAACTGCACAGATGAGCAGTTTTGGTTTGCTAACGTGAGTAATTTCCACAACCTCATCAAATAAATTACAGCCTCAGCAAGAGTTTTGATTTTTAATGGAAATACTTTGATTACATTTATGTTTTTCTGATTAATAAATAATACAAAAATGTACAATAACAAAATAAAATTGTTGCTTAGGGACAACTAGTAGTTAGTTTTTAATCTATCCTCTAAACAAACATCTGTAAAAAGGTAAGAGTATGTTTAAGCTACTATTAGTTTCTTGGAATGTTCAACTTAAACTAAGAACTCTTAATATATATTACAGATACTAAGTTTTTATTTTCAGCATCATTGGTAAATATATTTTCCATGTTATCTGTTTTCCATCTTCGTACATGGTGGTATCCTTGTATCATTGTAACAAAACTATCTGTGGGACATAAACGTGGATTAAGTAAATTCTAGTTCTACTGAGACTCCTATCTTTCTACTGGCCCACTAATTCCGTAGTTTTCATGAGCACTTGTGAGAGTGGAGTGTAAATTAATAGAAAAATAGAACAAAGGGAAGAATCTTCAGCTCCTGTAAAAAAAAAAAGCTTCAATTCATTCATATTTAATTTTACTCAGGAAAAAAATGATCACAAATTTTAAAAAGAACTCAAAATTAGAAAGCCATGTTTACATGAATCAAATCTAAGAAAACTGTGTAATGTGAAGAAAAAATGAAAATCAAGTAAAAACAATGCTGAAACTATATTTAACCTTGATAAAATTTATTCATAAAACTATTTGTTAAACTTCTCTTGGCTACTAAATTAACTACATTAAATAGCTGTTAATACATTAGGAAGTTCTTAAACCCCAGTACTGTGTGTGCAAGCCTACTTATAGAATTAAAGATAATTGTGTCATTGATACATGCTAGAAGAATGCTTCACTTGAATCTTAACAAATACGCTACACTGTTCAGTGTAAAATTCACTATGATGGGAAAAATTAGTGCAGAATAATGGTAAACTTGAGGTAATAACATGGTAGTAAAATAAAAGTTAAAAGCAATTTTCTTTTTTGCAGAGCTGAGGATTGAATCCAGGGCCTTACACATGCTAGGCAAGTAAAAATGTACTGAGCTTCATCCTGTGGCCCAGTTGAGAGCACTTTTTATTAGCCTGTAAGTAAAACTCCCTTTTCCCCCCTACAATTAAGAAAAGAACAATAGTTACATGAAGAAGGATGTAATAGATGTACTTGAGTACAATTGCCCCTGTTATCCAAGATTCTAAAACAAACAAACAAACAAAAAATCCTATAACTACCCAAACTTTGATGTATCACTAGAACTTATGAAACATGTGTGAGAGGGTAATGCACGAGCTGGAATCTCATTGCAAAAGTGGTGTATAACAAAGTTTCTAATTATGAGAAGTCAAAGTTAAACCTTACCAAATGATTGCACTCCAATGAATATTTTATACATGAAAACAATTTATTATTTTAATTTGAAAAAGTCTAAGAAGTATTGGGCACAGTGGTGTACACCTGTAATCCTTGGGAGGCTGAGGCAGGAGGATCACAAGTTCAAAGCCAGCTTTAGCAACTGAGTGAGGCCCTAGGCAACTCAGCAAGATCCTGTCTGTAAATAAACTATAAAAAGGTCTGGAGATGTGGCTCAGTGGTTAAGCACTCCTGGGTTCAATCCCTGATACAAAAAAAAAAAAAAAAAGTCTAAGAAGTACCAAAAATTGCAAATGGTTTATTTTTAAAACTCAAATATATAAGTTTAAAATGAATGCAGGTATTTGTCTAAAGATATTATAAAATACACTGGAAAAAAAACTTGTATTTTCCCTAGTAGGTCACCTTTATTGATCTACGTGTCATCTGAACTCTGAACTCTATTCCTAACATGGAGAATAGGAAATGGTAGAAATAAGACGTAGCTAATGAATAATGAAGAAACAGAGGTCAAGAACACATACTCAGAGCTCAAAAGTCATGCCACATCATTGGGAAACTGTGTGCTAAGGTACAGAAAGAATCTTTACCCTTACTGTATGATTTTCCAGTCTCTTTTTTATAGTGGGGTGGGAGGTAGTTATTGGACATTTAACGTAGGGCTTCATGCATGCTAGACAAGCACTCTACCACTGAGCTACATATCCCCAGCCTCCAGTTTCTCTTCTCTCTCTCTCTTTAAAGCCATTCTCTAAAATCCTATGCCTGCCTAGCCTACTTTTATAACTGGTGAGACATGGAACCCAGCCTTTTAGCAAATTTGATCTGTGACAAATACCACACCTATTATACTTGATACATATTGCAGGATAGCTAATCATTTGTAAGTAAAACAGCCTTTAAGATCCACAGCTGACATTCCTAACATGGTGTCTGATATACCATTGGTACTACCCACATTTTGTGAAGGTTATTATTTCCAGGTATTAGAGCCAGTTAACAAAAACCGATAACCTCAGAATACTGGATAATAATTAATACATCTTTCAGAAATCATACAAAATACTGAGCATTAAAATAAATGGCATCTGAGAAGAAACATAGCTTAAAACTAGAAGGTTTTCTCCAGGCACAGTGGTGCACGCTTGTAATCCCAGCAGCTCGGGACATTTAGGCAGGAGGATGGAAAATTCAAAGCCAGCCTCAGCAAAACTGAGGTGCTAAGCAACTCAGTGAGACCTTGTCTCTAAATAAAATACAAAATAGGGTTAAGAATGTGGCTCAGTGGTTCAGTGGCCCTGACTTCAATCCTTGGTACCCCCTCCCCCTCAAAAACCCCACAAAAACCAGGTTTTCATTTTTAAAACTTTTCATATTGTGCTCTCATTACTTTCTAAAAATTTAACCATGAAAAATCAGGTCAAATAAGTAAACAAATAAATAAAAGCATGCTTCACTGCTAGCTATGAACACTGCTTCTGGCAAGGGTGTATTTTTTGTTTTATCTTTAAAGGAAAACAATGAGCATAGAGTCTTCTAATAAGGAAGTTACGGAGTACAAGATAGGACTTTAATAAGAAAAAATCCAGTGTTCTAAGTAAGGAACAGAAACAGCAGTAGAATTAGTTGGGGCTCATTAGATGAACTCTAGCTATTCAAGAAGCATATAAAGTACAAATCACACAAACAAATCAACTTTGATGGAGAATGTGATCTTATCCTGGAAAAGATATGTTGAAAGGGGAATCAAACCAGGCACTCATGTTTCCTCAGAGTCATCAGTACTGGCTTTAAAGCCTAGAAAGTAAAGATTTAGCATTATGCAGACACTGTAAAGCACCCTACTGAAAGATCACCATTAACTCTGCATTGAATCACTGTGTTAGCAAAGTATAGGGCAACTTAGAATTGCCTTTTAGGCAAATTCTAAGTTTTAGCCCAAGGTTAATAGTATATGATTAAACATTTAGTACCTACATTTGAATATAGATTAGACTTGTTAGGTCACAGTAAAGATAGGTCTGCCATTACTCTGCTGTGAGACCTTGGTAAGTCATATAACTTCCCTGAGCTTTGGTTTCCTCATGTATAAAATCCAGTCGGACTATGATTTCTAAGGTCCTTCCAGCTCTAAAAATTCTATGAATCTATTATAATTTAATTGTTTTGAGAGTACAACTGTAGCAATGTTTTCAAGGAAACTGGAAAACCGAGTTAAAACTCAGGTTTATAAAGTTTATCTTTCTAGATGTCTTCCCCTAACAAACAGAATGATAGAAGAAATCTTGTTAGTATCTAACATCCTCAAAAATCAGTGTCATATGCTTTTCTTATTGGATGACTCACAGATGGCTAGAATCACTGAATTTTTGAGCTGGAAGGAAATTCAAATTTGTTATTGCCTCATGGATTTTGAGTACCAGACCTACCTTCTTTGATCCTCTGCTCTACTTGGCTCTCTGGTAACACAGACCTGGCTAGGCAGAACTGGCATTGATGCTAGGTCAGTGTAGAATGAATAGTTCAAAGTATGGGGAAATGAAAATAGCAGAGAAATGGCTATAGGAGAGAAGGGAGCAGTGGAAAATTTTAGTCAAGAAAGTAGCTGATGCAGTTCTATTTAAAAATTGTTACTAATTATAAAATGTTATGTACATTGTTTGAGTCTGTTTATTAATGTAAATTAAATACATTTTCTTCTAGTGTATACCACATGTCAATGTAGGAGATATTCCTCCTTTGACCTTTCACATAATATCCATTTTTCTGTCTCTTATCTCCAAAGTCAACTGAAAATAATATGAAAGCTGAAGTAAGCTAGTTAGGTACAGGTATAGAGAGCGGAAGGCAAAGAATTGTGGAAATAGAAAGTAACTGAAGTAAATTCATCCAAGAGTAGGCTCTGAGGCATTGTGGTATAAAAGGAGAAAAGAAAACATTCAGGACTTCGAAATTATATATGCAAGTTTCTCTTAAAAAACATCAATTTATTGAATTCCCCAATTTAATTTTAATTGTCATCAAAATTCAGAATTAATCTTCATGTTAAATGCCAATTTATCAGAATTATTAAAAGAAACTGCTAAAAGTGATCAGAATGAGTGAATAATTTGGAACAAGATTAAATATTAGTAAAATTATCAACAATAAAGTTCTAGAATGATCATAATTTTTACAATTTGGGTCCACTGTCAGGTGATTAACCTCAATTTGGACCCATCAGGATTATAAGGTCAGCTGTAGAGGGTCAACACTGCCACTTTCACAGTGACTACACTTTTTCCTCTGTAAATCCAGAGTTATCTTATGTAAAACAGGTCCTGAAAATAAAATAGTTATCTTCAATGAGAGGGTAAAATAAAACTTCCAGTTTTTGACAGTAATGAACTTAAAAGCAGGTGAGGAAACAATTTGTATCAAGTGGAAAGAGAAGACAAGAGGACAAGAACATAGAAAAGCAAAAGAGTGATGTGATAGTCAAAAAGGTTAAAAATATTTAGCTTTCTAAAATTACAACAAATGAAATACTTAAAAATCTGCTCCAAGTGATATCTTACTAAGGACTGAATCACTAGTAATCAGTAAACGAACACTTACCTGTACAACATGCCAATGTCGATGTCCAAGTAAAGTGCTTAAACCCTGGGACTCTAAACCTCCATCTGCAAATGGGCTCTTTTCCAGGCTCGGCTTATGCTGAGTGTGTGAAGAACTTCTGGGATTCTGGGTCTGAGAGGGCTCTCCACAGTTCAAATACAAGCGATCCTCTCCCTGAAGCAATACCTGCTCTTGGTTACTCTAGATAAGGAAAGAGGAAGAAGAAGAGCAAAGAAGAAAAGCAAATAAAAATAACCCAATATTTGGAAGAGAAAATTAAGTAATGCATAGATTCACTTTTATTATAGAAAGCATATTATGTACCTCAATGTTAATTTTCTTCACAGAGGACAAAGACTACATAATGATCTCAGTACAGTTATATTTAGAGAGAATAGGCAATGTTTTGATTTTATTTAATTTTATCTTCCAGTGTAAATAAAATCTTTGTTAAAGTCTGCTTTATTGTATAGTTGTAAACATGCCTAAGTTTACAACTGCTATAGTAGTACCTTTCATTACTATTTGAAAATGGTAATGATAAGAGAGATTTTTACATCTGAAAAATTAAATATGACTACTCATTATTTAGTTTACAAATTAGTTTTACAGGAAGTATGCTTTTAAGAAACTGTCTGATCAAAGACGTGTTTCTTTTTGTATTCTTATCCATGTGCTTACATGTAACAAGGGGGATAGATCAGGGATAATTGGATGCTGGAGGATCTTCTAAACCATGCGGAAGAGGAGAAGCCTAAGCCTATAGTTTGGGATCAGAAAAATTCAAATATCAGTGAATGTTTAGTTAGTGTCAAGGATACTTTACAGGCCTAAGAATACCCAGACAAATAAAGGAGTTTTACTTTTTAAAATTATGTTCTGGTTTTCAATTAAAGGACCAGTATATTCACAAGTGGGTAGATTCTTAGCACCCTATCCCTTCACCTTTCCATTATAGTCCAAATATTATACTGACATAAAACTCAAGGGTGCTGTAAAATTACTGTTAAGGAGGGAAAATACTCTGTTCTTATTTTCCTGGGATTTCTTAATTTTCAACTGCAGTAATGGGATCTGAGATTCAGATTATTTTTTTATAATATTTTTCAATGTATTATAAATGCAAATTCAATTCAATTGTTTTACTAAACATCTTTAAACAGCCCTTAATACTAAGGTACTAAGATTTGCATTCCCAACATGTAACCTATATTATCATTATATATCAGCAATATATAATATTACTATATATTATTTCAGATTGACAAGCATGAGGAGTTTATAATTTGGGACAATGTTTCTTGAAGCAGTTTCTTAGACATACTTTCTTCCAAGTGTTCATTAAGAGTTGATGGTTGATTAGGCATGGGGAACACTGTCTTTCATTTATTTATTTATTTTTAAGTATATGGGATTAAACTCAGAGGTAGTGACACTACCTTAACTTTTTGCTTTTTATTTTGAGAAAGTTCACTGAACTGCCCAGATTGGTCTCAAACTTGTGATCTTCTAACCTCAGCCTCCCAAGTCACTGGGATTGCAGGCATGCAAGACTGGACCTGATGTAACTGCTTTTTTATATTTCAACTCCTAGGTTTTCATGATGCATATGAGCATATTTGAAACTCTTGATCCCTTCAATAAATGCATTTCTACAGCTTTGTCTTAAGGCCTTTATTTCATACTTAGGTAAAAATGGAACTTTTTTTTTTTTAAATCCCATGGAACTGCTAATATTTCTCATGAGTAGTGTGGTGAAATTCTTTGGGAAATTCTATTCAGATTAAGACTAAATTATTAAAGTTATTCAACATACAAACATTGTTTTCCCACTTGTTACCCTATTTAAAAAACAACAAAATACCAAAAAAAAAAAACACCCCCCCCCAAAACCCAACAAACAAAAAACCAAAACTCTAAAGTATGTTCAGAAATTATTTTGGTATAAATTTATTATAAAGTGTAAGAATCACAAGAATATGCACAAAGGAAGGTAATATGCCAATTTTAGGAATATACTTGCTGTCCATGGATTATGAAGAAAGGTCTGAATTCTGATTTGAAAGACACTAAAGAAATCAGAGTTTTAAATACACTTACCATACAAGGGTTTACAGTGAGGACACTCTTGATAAACTGAAATAGCAGAATGCTGGGCTGTTTAACTATATTTCTGAGGTCAGATTCAATTTCAATGTGTTGAGAACCAAATCCACTGATTACCCATAGGTGATAGCCTTCTGCACCCCAGCTCTTGGAGGGAGGATGGGGGAGAAAAAAAGTAAAAGCATTAAAAGGGTCTTTTTATCCTTCCCTAACTTCAGTCAACTTCTGAAATAACCAATGAGGCACTGACTTCTGAAAGTTGCAGAACCCATGACAGATAAGAATGATATCTTCCAGTATACCTTAGCTATCTTCAGAGAAATCATTACCACTGTTCTCTACCTAGAATGGTCAAACCACTAAATACCATTCTTAGCTTCAATTTCAGAATCACAATCCTAAGGAATATCTATTGCTTTCTGTAACTTCTCCATTAATTGAATTTAGTTAACCTCTTAAATACAGAAGATGTATTTTATTTTATTTATTTATTTTTTTGGTACTGGGAATTGAACTCAGGAGCACACGACCACTGAGCTATATCCCCAGTCCTATTTTGTATTCTATTTAGAGTCAGGGTTTCATTGAGTTGTTTAGTGTACCTGGCTTTTGCTGAGGCTGGCTTTGAACTCACGATCTTCCTGTCTCAGCCTCCCTAGCTGCTGGGATAACAGGTGTGCGCCACTGTACCTGGCAAAAGACATACTTTTATATAGAGCAAAGAACAGTGGAGTGGAAGCTGAGACTACAGTTTTCATTTTAGATGGGCTTTTGTTATATTATCATGGCCAGGCTATCTGGTTTATCAAAGTGTTTCTTCCTCTGTAAAATGAGAAGTTTCAAATAAAATTCTCTAGGTATATTCAGTTTTAATATTCTATAATTAAATTTCATGACATAATTTTCAAAAGATTAGTTATTTTCGATCTGTAAGAAAATGGTAATGGTGAAGGCAGGAAGGGAGTCTTGCAAAATTTCAAGAGCTTAACAGAATTTTTATGTTTTTCCATGATAAACTTGTACAAGCTAATTAAAATGTTCAGATTCTTAGTTTGTGGCTGAAATATCAACTTAGCAAGGCTGATAACACTACTATATGCCATTCAGAAGCACTGACTAGCAGTCACAGAAATTCTCTCTGGTAGAAAACTTATTTTAAATATGGAGATGGGCTATAATCCCAGCAACTCAGGACGCTGAGGCAGGAGGATCGCAAGTTCAAAACCAGCTTCAGCAACTTAGTGAGACACTGTCTTAATAAAAATCGAATGGGCTGGGGATGTGGCTCAATGGTTGAATGCCCCTGGGTTCAATCCCTGGCAGTAAACAAACAAACAAACAAATAAACATAAAATATGGAGGCAAGGTGAATCAGTAAAAGGGCTTGTTGGTGGTGAATGGCAACCATAGTGATTTTAACTCTTGGAGAAATCCAAGATCAGAAATTGCCTTCCTCTGAATAATAAAATGGAAGGTTAATGATAAGTCTCATAGCCACTAATTTCATAAGGATGATACCAAGAGATGCTATGCAGCAAGAAAATAGTTTTATGTAAAGACAGGGGTTATATATCATTATTTTTTCAGAAATTTGAAAATAAGTAATAAATTAATTATTAACAATAGTGACTATAATTCTCTTGACAAACATCTATGAAAAGTTTTAAGAATGTGTTTAAGTAATGCACAGGTACATGTCTTCCAGGAAATATGCTCAAAGTACATTTTACTATATTTTAAAAGAAAGGAAGCTGTAAGAGTGAGTGCCTGTGAGTCACACAAGAATGGGAAGTATGCTTTGAAAAAAGAAGAGCCTTGTTTGAACAGTCATCTTCGTAAAGGTACTTAGTGAACACTTCTAAACAAAATTGAAAAATCAGGCAGCTACCAATTAAAAAAATAACTTTCATTAAAGCAAGAGCTGTAAGGAATAATCTGCTAAGACTAAAATAACTTCAGACCAATATGAGAGGAAAAGAAGGAAAAGAAATCTACATTCTTTATACTATGCCAATTAAATAGAAAGTACTTACCATAGAGTTGATCTTAAGGGGATCTTTTTTAGTACCATCAGACCTATACCTAAAACAGAATAGAAACTTAATTTGAAAGGGTCTTAACAATTATCTATAATACACACAATAGCTTTAGTTTTTTAGAAACCACATTAATTTTGTCCTTCAAAACAGAAATACATAACAATGCATGAAATAAAAAGTTGTAGGATAATATACATAGGCACATCATTCAGCCATATTTTCTAGGTTCAACCGACTTCTTATAGCATCATGAAGTTTGGGAAGGCGTATTTCACTTCATCAGGACGGTAGCTAAGGGTAATATTATATGTAAAGATAGCAGACATCAACCCATTACTATTAACCCATTGGGTTAAACTACATTAACTCAATGAGATAATGTAACTTTCTACTTCCTATTTAGTTACTTACGTATGTGGCTTATCACTCATACTATATAAGCAGCTACTGGAAGGCAGGACCTTGTCTGATTCAGCCTTAAATCTGACATGAGGTCAAATACACAACAGGGCTCAATAAATAAGTGAATTTTTTTTCAGTGTTGGGGATCGTTAAGTAAGTTTTACTGACTGAACTGTCAGTTTTAAGAATGTGATGTTTGGAGAACCAATACATTCTGAACAAACTAATTCTGAATCTCACAAATTATTTTGGGGTAAGTGTCAAATAAGGCAAAAGGGTAATTACATGATCCAAGGTTTCTGTATACATATACTGTCTGGGAGATAATGAAGTTATTTTATTTAAATTTGTTTTTTTGACTCACGCAAAATCTCCTCCCAGTGTACAAATCAGCTGGGCTCCAAACACACTCCATAAAGAAAGTCCTCCATATTCCCATGTCACTATTACCACACTATTATCAGGAGACCATCTGATCAATTTAACAGCTCCTGTTTTGTTCCAAATGTCTGTTAAGAAATAGTGAGAAGGGTTAAAAAACAAACAATTGTGTCAAAAATACTAAGTACTTTTTATAGTCCATATCTTCAAATACAAACAAGCAGAAGCATCATTTATAGTCTATATCTTCAAATATAAATAAGCAGAAGCATCACTGCTTCACACAATGAGATGAATCCACCCATGTAAGGTTATTTAAAACAAGGACCACCAGTTTTGGCCTGATCTAATCAGAAGGAGCTCAGTGCACAGGTGATTGTAAGAAGTGAAAGATGTTTCTGGCCTCTATTAGCTTGAGTAATCTTTGCTCTTTGGTTTGTGCTAATCAGCTTATGTAGAACAGGGATAAGGTTGAAGCAAACACTGTATTTAGAGAAAAATATATGCTGACCTTTGAAAAGGCTATACAATTAGAATGGCAAATTTCTATTTCTAGCAGTAGAGTAAATGATGCCCCAAAACTCTACAATGAAACAACTGAGATGTCAAATAGAATATTGAAATACCTCCAAACAACCAAAAATACTGGGACAAAATGTTTTTTTTTTTTTTTTTTTTCTTTTACCTGAATTTATCTGCTAAGCCCCGAGAAGCTTGACTACCACCTCTGATGACTCAGGTGTTCAAGGGATAGGAGAGAAACTCAGAGCTTGCCCCAGCAGGGAGTTTAATAAAAGATACCTATGTAAAATTAGACTGTAAAGAACAATATCCACTGTACAAAGGCAATTGAAAAAAAAAAAAAAACTGCCAAGGAGAAGAGAAAGAAATAGCAAGAAACACTTCCATGTTTCACCTATGGTACTGAATAAAAACTAAAGCTCCGTGATGATCTGCAGCCACAAGTCAGCCTTCACTCTGATTTGCAATTTGTGCCATTAGTGTGGTTAAAAAACAAAACAAAACAAAAACCTCAAACTACAAAATGCAAAGTGTTCCAGATTGTTGTAGTACCCTCAAATGACTAGCAGAAATACAAACAAATCCTCTCTGGTAGAAGTCAAATGTAATCCAGGCCTCAAAGTATTCACATAAATAACTTTCAAGAAAAATAATTGGCTCTCAGTCAAAAATCCTAAAATAATAAAGAAATGAGTGAGAATCTAAAGAACCAAGTACAAGAAACAGACTTAGGAAGATTTCAGATATTAAAATTAATGGGCACAATATAAGCATGTCTTTTAAAGAAATACAAGATTGAAAGTTGGAGCAGGAAGCTTAGATAGGAAAAAACTTAACTTTCTGAGATAAAAATGATTAAAAACTCAATGGACAGATCCAGCCACATATTAGATGAAAATGAAGACAGAATTGGTGAAACAAAGATTGACAGGGAAATTTTTTCTAAAATGCAGTTCAGAGAAATAAAAGAAATTTAAAAATTCAAAAGCCAGGTTAAGAAACATGGAAAAAAATTGGGTATAGTGGTGAACACCTGTAATCCCAGTAGTTCGGGAGAAGACTGAGGCAGAAGAATCAAGGTTTGAAGCCAGCTTCAGCAACTTTATGAGGCCCTAAGCAACGTAGTAAGATCCTATCTTAAAATAAAAAAATAAAAAGAACTGGGGGTGTAGCTCAAAGTGCCAAAGGGCTCAATCTCCAGTATAAAACAAAAACAAACATACATACACACAAATCCACACACTAAATAAATAAATAAATACATAAAAATTCATAATATGTATTAGAGTTCCAGAAAAAGAAACTGCAGGAGAGGCAATAAACAAGGATAATGATGGAGAATTTTTCTAGAACATATGAAAGATATGAACCCTCAGATCCAGAAAATCTGAATTGCAAACAGGATTAAAAAACAAAATCCTTCACCATTCACATCATAGTCAAATCACAGAATACAAAAGACCAAGAAAATCTCTTATAAGTAGCTAGACAAAAAACAACAAATCTGAAAAGGGACTATAACTTGACTGAAGACTTCTAAGTAAGCAGCACTGAAAACCCAATGACAATGGAATTTCAGTGAATATAAAAGAAATAATTCTCAATCTAAAACTGTATAACAAGCTAAGCTATAATTAAGTCACAGGGTACAATAAGCCATTAAGACCAAATACACAAAAACTTCACTGAAAGAAATTCTGATGGATGTATTTCAGGCAGAAAATGATCTAAGAAGGTAGGAAAGAGGGGTGACAAAAATATTGGTATATGTATGTGAGGTAGAACTAAGTCAACAAGTTAAATATTCTAATATTTAATTGAAATTTTAATGTAAGATATCTCAGTTTCTTTCTTGAAACTAGTAAGATTTTTTTATTAATAAGTTTGATTAGATTTACATGGGTACGCTCAACCTCTTTCTGATCCCAAACATCTTAAGGCTCCCAATTACTAATATGGATACAGGCATAATACATTACAAAATTCAGAAGACACATAGCAATAAGATTATACTGCTGCTATATACAATTCTGCAAAGGTAACTGGCCTTGACTTAAAAATAGATTCATTCATCACATGTCAAGTATGTGTTTCTCACTAAACTGAATCAAATTGGTGTAAAGAAATAAGAACCACACTATACTCAAGCTTGTAGTTGAGGAGGGGGAAATATCTATAAGCGATTAAGTTTCAGTAAAGCATTATAGATGTTAAGAAAGACTTAATGTGCAAAGTATAATGAAACAAAGGAGGGAATAGTATTCTAACTAGTTAACAAAAAGATATTTCATTTAAACTATGTCGGGAAATATGACGAGATGTCTGCCATGTAGAAATATGAAACATTTTACATCTAAGACAAGAGAACAGTGAAAGTCAAAGGTATAAAACAGCATGGAGATATCAAGGTATCAAGGATCTGTAGACAGTTTGGTCACCTAAGTAAAGTGTAAGACTATAGTTCCCAGCCTATGTGCCAATGTATACCAGAAAAGGGCAAAAGACTTACAGAGGTGCTATAAGATAATTTTCAAAAGAAACATAGTGATATACAGCATGTGTTGGACACAATGTAAATACCTAGCTGCAGTAGTTTACAACTGCAATTCATTTTGATGTTATCTCTTCATGAAGAAGGGTTTTCAGGAGCTGCTGTAATACAAAGTAAGTACTCTGTGAAAATCAATGTGAAACCAGAAATGTGGATGGTTGAGACTGTGCAGTCTCCAAAAGGCATACACACTCCATTAGTTAAACAAACAAATAAACAAACAAAACCTATGTTTAAGAATGTTTCCATTTATAAGAAATACACACACACACACATATAAATTATATATATATATATATATATATATTTATATATATATATATATTTATTTATTTAGTGATACTGATTGGCACCAGGGCCTCATGCATGCCAGGCAAGTGCTCTACCACTAAGCTAACATTTTCAGCCCAGCTGGTCAGTTAACCCAATACCTATTGACATCTACCTTCTCCACTTCTGCTAATAAAGGCTTAGAAAAAGCTATCATTTCCAAGTTTTCTCTGAAGCCTGAAGTAGCCAGGTTTTATGGCCATAAAGGAGATGAAAGGAGAAGATAGTTGAAGTAAGTAGGAGTCAGGGATATATCTGGGAAAGCTTTTGCTTCACTCATTAAAAAGAAGACAAAAAAATCAGATGTTTTGTATCTTTTTTGCTTGACTCAAATGCATTATGCTGGAGATTTGGAGCTACCTTGTGACCACCAAAAAGTTCAAATGAAGGTCAGTAGAAGCTTGCCTTTGGATTTTATGCTCTTTGAGAAAATAAATTCTATTTGTTTAAGCCACAGTAATTTGGGTTTTCTGCTAATTTAGTCAAAAACATCTTCAATGATACAAAGTTTAGGCTTAATTTTGTGAATAGCAGAGAACAACGGGTTCAAAAAGAAATTCTTATTTATTGCTATGTATCCAGCAGTTAGAAGTGTCTAACATGTATTTGTTTAAAACTGAATTGGAAGACATACAGTGGGAGTGAAATCAGGGAAGAGATTATGGCAAAATCCAGATAAAGAATACAGGGGTTAAAACTAAGGATAGAAAGAACTAAGTGAAGGAATAAAAAAATATCTTAGCAGCCTATCCTGTTACACAGAAATCTTTCTGTTACATAAAACCTTGTTACATGTTCTAATAATATTTACATATAGCAGGTATCATTTAATTTAAAGCCAGTATTTGTTAGACACAGTATTACTACTATGTGTTACCTTCCTTTATCTGAGATTTTGCTGTCCATATTTTCAGTTACCCAAGGTCAACTATGGTCTGAATATATTAAATGGAAAATTAAAGAAATAAATAATTCATAAATTTAAAAATGCATACCATTCTGAGTAGCATGATAAAATTTCACTCTGTCCTGCTTAGGGTATAAATCATCATTTTGTCCATTATGTCCACAGTGCATACACTATTTACTCATTGTCACATAGTAGAATCTCAATTATTTGACTGACTGTTGTGGTATCACAGTGCTTGTGTTTAATAATCCTTATTTTATTTACTTAATAATGACCCCAAAGCACAAAAGCAGTAATGTTGGCAATTCAGATATACCAAAGAAAAGCTGGAAAATGTTTCCTCTAATGGAAAGGTCAAAGTTCTCAGGAAAGGAAAAAATTATATGCTGAGGTCACTAAGTTCTGTGACGGTAATCAATGTTCTATCTGTGGAACAGTAATGAAAAAATCTGCGTTAATTTTGCTGTTGCACCTCAAACTACAAAAGTTATTTTTGGAATGTGTAATATATGCAATACAAAGATGGAAAAGATATTAAATTTGTGAAATACATGAACAGAAAATTAACAGCAACATGTTGCCCCAGAAAGCATTGAAGCCTATGTGAAGAATTCAGAAGTGATCCTCTTTCTGAAGAGATAATGATCCATTTACTACAAGTAAGAGATGGTTACACAGATTTGTGAAGAAGTTTGGACTGAAAAATAATAAACATTACTGGAGCTGCTGCATCTGCCAATGAAGAAGCTGCTGCTGCTGCATTATTCAGAAGTGAATAAATTGATCAAGGAGAGAGAATACCATTCAAAGCAAATCTTCAGTTGAGAAGAAACTGGGCTTACTGGAGTAAGATGCCCAAAAGAACTTATATTCATAAAAGTAAAAAGGAGGTACCAGGGCAGAAAACACAGAAAGGCAGAATAACTCTGGTACTAAGTGGCAATATCTTAGGGCATATATTTAAAGCCAAGCATAATGTCTAGAGCACTAAACCTCACATTCAAAAATAAAAATTATACTTTGAAAGAGAGGAAAGAGAAAGGCCACTTGCACATAACTTTTATTTCAGTATATAATTGTTCCAGTTTGAAGGGTGAGGAGGGGTGTTAGGATGTATTCCTTATAGACAGAGGAGGACTAAACTAAAAACACTCTTAAAAAAATACTCACCAGGATATTGTTTTGCTGTTAGCTCTAATTTATGATTCAGCAGCATGGCTCCAGTGGTGTTATCTATTGTATAAACCTGTACAGAACCACTGTGAAAAAAAAAAAAAAAACTTTTTATGAAAAAAAGACAAATATAAATAGAGCATTTTATGAGAACTCTTATGTTCTGCTAATTTGAATAAAAAGTAGAACAAAATTGTTTTATAAATAATTTCAAGTCACCTCATGACTTTACGCAGTTGCATAATCTGTATTCTAGCAATTTTGTTTCTAGATATACCCCAGAAATTCTTGTCTAATGTTTATTACAAGACGTGAACAATTCCACTTTACTAGGTGTAATTGTAAAAGAAAAAAAAAACTGACTATAAAACAACATGAGTAAGGGAAAATAAACTGGCATATTTATATAGTGCTAATACCATAGAGCATTGGGAAAAAAAATGAATGAACTTTAGCCACATGCAAGGCAAGGAGCTAACAAACATAAATTTCAGATAAGTGATTGCCCAGATGGAGAAAGGGGAATATTAAAGAAAGCCAAAAAGAAGGCTTTGTTAGTACTAGCAATGTGCTGTTTCTTATGCTGGGTAATACAGATTCTTATTGTTATATATGTTATTCTGTATATATGATATATATAAATAGTTCATTTAAAAATATTTATACATTTCAAACTTACAAAGGGCCTAAAACCAAAACTAAAATCTCTACATTACTTCTAAAAAGGGGGGCATCATTTTGTGTTTATAGGATTATTCTCACTTCAAAAGTTCAACACACACTCATTTTGGAAAGTAAGTTGGCTAATTCAGTTTCATTACTTATACAATGAAATTAAAATGAAAAAGAGAAACAAGTTTGTTTTCAAAATACTTTTTAGTACAAGTCTGCTTTTGCAGATTAGTGTCAGAATGAAGAATTAGAAGAACTTGAAGACACCAAACACAGAAATGATAAGGAAATGGAAATGTTAATATCCCGATTTGATTAGTACACATAAACATCTGTTGTAATATCATGCTGCACCTCATATTTACTTATGATTATTATACCAAAAAAAAACCGACTACTGCTCCTAAAGCAACTGAACAAAATATCTCTATGATAGAAATATGGCTATTGTTAACAAAAATCATCAAACTTAGCATCATTAATATTGGGACAACTGGACATTATTGTTGAATGATGCCACAGAAAGTACATATCATCAACCAGGACAAAAATATTTACCCAGAATATTGGATTGTTTATGGTTAAGACATTAAATATAAAGGTGAAGAACTAGGTTGTCCAAGACTGATCTATTGCAAAATGGCATCTTAAAAGAAAGCTGGCTTTTTACAGAATTCTAAACACATCAGTTATAGCCTACAGCTCCAGAGCTCTGGATCCTACGTCTGGCTCTGCTAGACCCCTGGGTACCAGACCTGAATACAGGTAATGGAAGAATTACACACTTACCACTACTCCTATCTCTGTCAGTTTTCTCTAAATGCTGTTCCAAACTTGTTGTGTGAGCTTCCCAGTCATTTAACTGTATTTGCTCAACAAAACCAGTTTTCAGGTTAGTCATTATAGGTGTTAGAGAAACTAATTAAATACCATCATGAGGAAACAATGAAGCAAATTTTAGAATGTAGAACATTCTGTAAAGAACTGATCTGGACTTAAAAAAGTCAATGCCATAAAAATAAGAAAAAAGGCATAAGGATTATTGTAGGAAAAAGATAACTAAAGAGAAATAACAACTGAATATGCATTTTGACTGATTCTGGTTTAGAACAAAGGAGTTATAAAAGAAATTCGGGTAACACCTGAGTTAATTTGAACATGATATTAGATATTATTAGGGCATTGTTTTTAGGTACTTATCATTAATCACTTGCATGTGATAAAGATAGTGGGTTTATGTTAGAAAAATGTCTTTCTTTTTTGGAAACCAAGACATAATATAAAGGTCAACCAACAGAAAAGCTGATGAATATGATACATTATTCATAAATCAACTAAAAATGGTTATAGCTATTGGCAAATACTATGGATGAATTCACAATGATGACTGATACAAACAAGATAAAAAATGTAAAATGTGATTCTCTAAAGTTCATAAACAGGTAAAACTAAATTATGGTCTTTAGGAATGTATACATGGGTAACTAAACCATAATGAAAAATAAATGATTATCAAAAAAGCTAAAATACTGTTACTAAGTTAGGGAAGGAGTAGAGTTACAATTAGAAGCAATCTATTTGTGAACAGATAGATGGTTGTTTATATTAAAATTACTTTTTCATTTTTTTGGTACTGGAGATTGAACCCACTGAGCTATATCCCCAACCATTTTTATTTTTTCTTTTGAGACAGTCTCACGAAGTTGTTTAGGGCCTCACTAATTTGCTGAGGCTGGCCGCAAATTTGCAATCCTCCTGCCTCAGCCTCCTAAACCGCTAGGATTATAGGTATGTGCCACCACGTCTGCTACAATTACCTTTTAAAGTGTGAATATTTGGGTTACATACCATTCTGTATCTATGTTTTTAATTTATAATATGAAAGTGAAAGGGAATGTTATAAACTTTATGCCAATAAATTTGACATTATATGAAAGAAACCAATTCATAGAAAAACATAACTTACCAAAATTAGAGAAATTGAAATCCTCTTAAATATATTTTAAAAACTGAATTGAATCAGGCAACTAAAAATTACCCCAAAAGAAAATTAAGGCCTGGATGGCTTCATTAGCAAATTCTGCCACATATTCAAAGATGAACAGAGAAAAAATAGAAACCCTTCTTCAACTTATTTTGTAACCTTGCTTGACTAGGAGTATTAGATGAAGGAAATATACTCATGAACATAGATTTTAAAATTCTCAAAAAAATGTGAATAAACTGAATCTACAACTATAAAAAAATGCTTGTATATCTACATTTAACTCAATGAGAAGCAATGTGTTCAGAACAAGTTCAAATAAAAATAAAATGAAGAGCCTTCACTCTACAAAGGTTACTGAAAGTGTAATCAAGGTAGTGATTTGTAAGAAAAACATCTTTGATATTTATTTGGGTGGAAATAATGTGGCTGGAGACCAGACTAGATGCACATGCTATAAAATAATTAAGTCTCATTTTGAGAGCAAAAAGGAATTTCATATATAACAAAGTTTTTAAAAAGCACTGTACACATTGCAATGCAGTCTTACAACTGACTGAATTAAATTTTTTAAAAAATTATGTTAAATATTTCAATTTAAGCTAATGAATAAGCTCAAAGTCAGGAATCCTTGTTTTTTTAAGGTATTCTAGGTGTTTAGACCCATGTCCAATACATGATAAGTACATAAGGCATTGTTTAACTGAATAATTTTATTCCATTTTATTTTTAAAACCTCTATTACATTAAAGTTAAACTAAAAAATTGATTTTGCGTCAAAGCTTTAAATACACTTCTTAACTAAGGCACATCTACTAATTTAAAAAGGCAATAGCAACACTGATGTGTTAAAAGGGATTATTAAGAAAAAATAAATATCTTCTAGTTTAATTTATTTTTGCTGTACTGGAGATTGAACCCAGGGGTGCTTTATCACTGAATTACAAACCCAGTCTTTTTTATTTTGAGACAGGCTCTTGCTATGTTGTCAGGGCTGGTCTCAAACTTGAAATCCTCCTGCATTTGTTTCCTGAGTTGTAAGGATTATAGGAATAAACCATTGTATCAGGTTCAAATCCTCTTTTTAACAATAAAGAACCTAAATTTTAACTGATTTATTCTTTTTAACTTGTAATTCAATTTTCTACAATTAAAGAAAAGCTTGCTTTTACAAATTAAAATGTCCAACCTCTCAAATCTGCCCGTTTATCTTTGTTTCAATCTAATACCTTTAGACTTTATGATAAATTATAATAGGCATGATAAAGTTTCCAAGTGTGGAAAGACATCTTTTTAAAATTTTTGTTCTTTTTAGTTATACATTACAATAGAATGTATTTTGATATATCATACATACGTGGAGTTGTGGTCTACAAATGTGGAGTTACATTGATCATGTATTCATACATGAATATGGGAAAGTTATGTTTAATTCATTCATGGAAAGAAATTTTAAGTCTAAAAAATTATTTCTGATAACTTAAAAATTCAGAAATCTATATAAATACCTTGCACAACCAAATGCCATTAGTCGATATTTGTTATTTACTGCTACACATGTTCCATCGACAACATCCTGTGGCCAAACTCCATGAAGCTGCTATAACAAAGAAAAACGGTTAAAGCTTAAAAACTATTTTCTCAAATTTACTGTAGCCAGTATAATTCTTCTCCAAAAAACATGAAGTTTCCTAAAACTTTATTTGGTTTCATTGCATAGGAAATATCCCATCAGACCTACCATCTGAATATTCTCTCTTAAAAAAGTCAAATCTTTCATCAATTGTTCAATAAATATTCCCAAGTGAACTCAATCCAATAAGAGTCAATCTAAAACACTAAAAACTGAATATCCAATCTCAAAACTTAAACTAAATGAAGAATGACCTGCTTATTATAATGTAAAGCTTTTGATAACAAAAACTGTATCTCTCTTGTTCAATATTAATATTCTCATTACCTAGCGGAATGTTTAACTTCCCAGGCAGTGGAAAGTAGTGAATATTACTTGGCTTATTAGAAGCAATTCATTATCTGTCAATTGTTTACTATTCTTTACTATTTCTTTACTATGTAGTATGGCTAATGGCATTATTTCTAGCAGCCTGACAGAAAAGCGCAAATCTATTTCAGGTGATTCTCTCAAATGACCTTTCCAAGATTTAATTTTCTTATCTCTAAATTTCTTACCTCACAGTATGGCTCAAAGATTAAATGAGAATGTCCATATTCACTACTTAGTACAATGCATACAATTCAATAATTTAAGTACTCCATAAATGAATGAAATTATTATTAATCTCATATGCTATTTAATTCTGTATATACAGAATAGATTTTGCTCATAGTTGTTAGTTCTTATTTGCCAAAACAAGGATATTTAGCTTATAAATTGTAAAGAAAATGTCATGACATTAGTTTAGAAGCACAAAAAGTAGAGCTATAATAAAGCACTTTATTTATATTTTGTTTGTGCACTTTGTTTTTTAATGATCCCCAAAGTAAATGTTAGAAGATGCATACAATATAATCACAACTGTTTTAACTTTACTATTACAGATTTTATTCAATTCCAAATGAACTACATAATCTATTATCTCAACAGAGAATAGTCATGTGTGAATGACAAATGATCTGACAAATTTGTTGTTCCACAATTTTATCACCAGGCAAATATCAGTGTATATCTTCACAATCTAAGAAGGCTACGACATCACTAGGTGATATAATATTATGGGACCACTATCATATATGTGGAATATCATTGGTCAAAATGTAATTATGTAGCACATGACAGTATTTGCTCTTTTGTAGAAATTTTACTTATTTTTCTTTTCTTTTAATATTTTTTTAGATGTTGATAGATCTTCATTTTATTCATTTATTTATATGTGGTGCTGAGAATCTAACCTAGTCCCCAGCACATGCTAGGCAAGTGCTCTACCACTGAGCCACAACCCTTTTCCTTTAGACTACTGCCACTTAAACATATTTCCATGTATTCTATAATTTAAAATTGCTTATATTTTTACTTTCCTTTTACTTTTGTGTAAAATAAAATCACAGGTCTGTTTTTATTCAACATGCTTGTGAGATCTATTTTGTTGCACACAGCATTGTTTGTTCAAGTTTACTATACACTTAAACACTGGGTTTAGCTCACTGTGTCTCTGGCCTCCCCTAACCAGGTAATTCTTTATTATTATGTTACCTTTTGAAAGTCTTCATGTATATTTTTTAAAGTTTTAATCCAACTTTTTGGATCCTCAGCAGGATTTTTTGCCCTAATTTTCTAGCTCTATTGAACAGAGAAATGGTATAATGTATGCATTTTAACACATTTATTAAATGTCATTTTGTGTATTTCCAAATTATCAGTAATTCATATATATTATACTCTTATAATTTATATTTTCCAGTTATAACATTTAATAATGTTCGTCTGCTTTTATTTTTTAAATCCTTATTGGAAATTTCTTTAACCACATAACCAATAAATGATGAGAATAACTGAACTAATTTTAAATACTCAGAAAAATGTTAACTACCATTTCAGCTCAAATATTTTTTTGTTTTCAGTATAAATATTTAAGTTCTAAATATAAATATATATATAATCTTGTAGAAAAGATTTTTATTTTTATTTGTATGTTGACATTAAGCTACCAAAAATTCATTATGTAATATCTTATTATTTGAAGAAGAGCAACAACAAAATTCCCCTTAAAAACTTGAAATTCATTCCCATTAGAGAGCAGACTGAAAATGAATATTTAGTGTCCATAACTCCTAAAGCCCAAACTTTCATACAAGATTTTTTTCAAAAGCATAAACTGACAAAGACAAAGAATGGGAGAGAAGGCAGAATTTTTAGACAACTTTGGAAGCTGGGAAGCATATGCATAAGTAGAGCTCTTCACTGGCAGTAAAGAATACTGAGAAATGGCTAACTTTACATTGTAGTATACACCAAAGGCTTGGAAACTAAATTAGAACTAGCTTAAAGCCCATTTAAGAAGCACCTGGTTCTCTCAATGCTGTGCAGCCAAGAAATACATAATCTATACGCCAACAGAAAACTGGACATTTTTCATTGGAGAAAAACAGGAATGTCAAAGATAAAATTCACACCTTGAAATTGGACCCTCTAGCCTAACTCTTTCATAACTCAAATTCTAGAACACTACAGGAGCTAGGTACACATCCACTGGAAAGAACTAAGATTCTTTTCCAAGGAATAGTGGAGAAAGAAAGATGATGGGATTGAAGAGGAGGGGAAGAGAAAGAAGGGGAGAGGAAAAAGTAATGAACATAAAGATAGGGGGCTCCCCAAGTAAATAACTAAATAAGATTAACCCATAGTGAAGATCATATAACCAAATTCACCAAAACTCAGTTTTCAATAAATCCAAGTTTATTTTGGGTCTCTATGACAGCAGCAAAATCCATATAATAATAACCATTAGCTATCCAAGGATCTCATATAAATAAAAGAGTAATGGGAACCCTCAGGGGGATGATGATGAAAAATTTAAAAAAATACAGCTATGTTAAAGGAATAAACAAGTTAAGTGGTAAATACATATAATGTAAAAAACACTTATTAATTCCTAGAGGGACAGAAAATCTGCAGGAAATGAAAAGAAATCATACTTGAAAACTAAACATACAACAGGGCTCAGGAACTAACAGGGTCTACATACTGATAAAAATATAAAAAATAAATAAATAGTAAACAAGTCAAAATGATAAAACTTCATTTAATAAAATAAAAGTCCTTCAACATCTTAAAAAAATAACACAAAACTTCATTGGGAATATGGAAAGAATATGAGTATGTTGGGAATAGGGAAGCGGGAAGTGAATGGCCATTTTCCATAGGAGAAAGTCAATAACACAAACTAAAAACTAAAATTAAAAAAAATGCTCAGAGCAGTAGAGGAAATATCCAAATAACTAGTACAAGAATTAAAAGGCATATGCCTCTGGACAGGAACCATTAATTTTCTTCAATATGTGTAATATAATTTTGTCTACACACATTGTTTATACATACATATTTATATAGTTAAATTCAAAAATTAATAACTCCTAAAATCTTATATGAAAATAGAATTCGGGGAAGGATTTAATAACAAAGATTAACATTATTAAATGCAAAATAAAATAAATATTCAAAGTAAATAAGCCATACCTCTGCAGTAAATCTACTTGACACTGGTGTAATAAATCCAACTTTACCATCATTAAACACAACAGCAAATCCATCAAGTGTGGCACAGTATTCCATGTCTCTGATGTGCACATCGGCAAAGCCCAGGAATGAACCTACTGAGGAATAAATAAGTGCACAAAATAAGTTTATGAGTATAATAAAACTATCACACTTTTGCTTGCAAACCCTCTAAGAATAGTTAAAATGACAAAAATTATGACCTGATGACCCTAAACAATTAAACTAAAATCAATGCTCATCCAAAGAAAATACCTAACTAGGTTATGTCAAATATTAAACAACTGGTTCTACTTTCTGTAGAAAGTGTAATTACCTCTAGATGATTGCAGATCTACTGAAAAGGGTACTGTGCAAAGATTAATGGCTTTCCTTCCATTTGTCATTCCTTCCCAGTGAATAAGATGAAGAAGTCCATCAGAAGTAGCAACCAGAAGATCTTCCAGTACAGACTGCAAACTGTAGGGAAATAAGCAACTTAAATCACTTTAAAAACATGCTAGGAAAGTAATGACTATGAATATAATTACTCTGGAAAAGGCTAATAATGCAAAAAGAATCATGACATCTCCATTTATATGCAATTTAGCTGTGACTTTTACCTATGTATAATTCAATCTAGATTCAGAAATTCAGGGAAAAATTATGGACTATGTGTAGCGACAGTTACAAACTTGATGAATTGGGTTAAAAACTAGAAATGCTGAAACAGCAAATTAGTAAAGAGAAGCACAAGTGATAAATGACATGAAAGGAAAAGAGGAGGGGAAACCATAAAAAGAACAGACATTAACAACAGGATGACAATCTAGAGCCATGGACTGTGGAGGTAATAACACTCTAGCTTTGTCCAAAAGAATTTTCAATAATGATGGAAATGTTCTATATTGGTACTACCTTATAATAGTAGCTAATAGCCTTAAGTAATGAATGTACACTTGAAAATTAATAGCATATATAATCTCTACATTAAAATTAACAATGGCGCAACAAAACATGACCAGACATATGAACAGGAAAATGTGACCCAAATTTCAAAAGAAAAATCCATCAATATAAAATATAAATAAATGACCAATAGAATTAGCGGATAATGATTTTAAAGATGATAAAGAATCTATACAAAAAGACAGATACATCATATATACCTTGTTTAATTAAAAGTAAACAAAATTGTTAAAATAAAGGCTGATGTCAGTTGTTAAAGTAATGAATATTTCCATAAATGATGGCAAATATAGGGCTTGCCCTAAGCCATCCAAGTGCCACTAAGGATTCCTTCCCTCATGAAGATCTAATATATTAAAGGATTAATTCTTGGAATACATGCCAGGACCTTGTACGAATAACCCACAACTTTATTTTTTATTATTGGTTGTTTAAAACATTACAAAGCTCTTGACATATCATATTTCATACATTTAATTCAAGTGGAATAATCCACAACTTTTCATGCTATATGGGTTCTCAAATATTTTGAATATCATCCTTGGTTTTAAGTACATACAAGATACATTTAAATACACTTAAGTTATGTCCTCAGAAAACCTCTTCAATCACTGGCTGCATGGGCATTATAACAACTATCTGGTATCCCAAATATGTGTATGTATTTTTAAATTTAGGATCTTATTGAGTTCTAAAGAATTTAATATGGTTAGAGAGCAATATAATACATATATACTTCCATGTGTACCTTGAAGTAGAAGAGTGTTTCTGATTAATCAAAATTATTTTAAACATTATATGAATTATATAATTCACATGTTAAAAACTCCAAAAATGTTATTATTAGAGACAGGGTCTCACTGAGTTGCTTAGCACTTCACTCTTGCTGAGGCTGACTTTGAACTGATGATCCTCTTGTCTCAGCCTTCTGAGTTGCTGGGATTACAGGTGTGTGCCACTGTGCTGGGCCTCTTTTTTTATAGGCTCTTTTTCTATCCTATTTCCATACACCAAACAGGTTTTACCACCAAGTGGATGTAAAAAGCTAAGTTTGTAGTTTTCACCTCGAGTGGTAACCATACGTTCAAAATTCCTTCTACATAATAATCTATCCTGAAAAGAGATATTTGCTTCCAAATTTTACGATGATCATTGTCAAAGCAAACTATACTGTAACTGTTTTACAGCACCACTTTTCTTTTTTGTAAACTGTACTGAAATAAATTAGTCATCATTGCTAATGTTTTTTCTAATGCAATAAAATAGTAATCATCCCAATCCTCAAAAAAATCTGTTCTATATCAAGTTACATTCTTAAAAAGGATTTCAATGCTGAAATATATAAAATCTTAAGTGATGAGTAACCTTTTGACGAACGTGATGATTATCCTGAATTCAAATATTTTGTGACACCTCCACATTTAAGAAAATAACAGCATTCTTTTCTATGAGAATATAAAAAAAGATAGACTAAGCAAGGCGGACAATAGCTAACCACTTGCACACAATTTTTCTGTAATATGTTCCAGTGTCATTCTATTCTAATAAGAGAAATGGTGAAAGAAGCCATTTCATTAAAATTGTGAATCAAGAGGATCTTTCAAAAAATAGGTATTACATTTATATAGTTCAATACATTCATATTATATTCATATGGCTCAATATTTTTACAAAGTAAACAGTAAAAATATCTTCCCAAATCTGTCTCAAGGCTACTTGGTTCTCATCCCCAGTTTCTTATGTATTCTTCTAGAACAATAAATATTCTAATACTACCATCTTCTCTTATATATATCATAATATTAAAAGTATATATTATAATATTCACATTGTTTTTTGTCGATCACTAATATAGTTAAAGTTTTTTTCAGTAAAGAATATCCTCATTGTTTTCATAGCTGCACATTACTTAAAAACAGTTTCTTACATTTACACAATGGCAACAATATGCAGTTAAACTAAGTGGCAGCTAAAATGTCAACCATGATGCACTTTAAGAAATAATGTCAAATTATAAATAAGACCATTTCATCAATAGATGTAAAAATAGATTTTTGGTGTAAAAACAGATTTTTGGTATTTTGGCTGCCTTGTCATAAAATCTTTATTCATAGTTGGATCAGAAAGCTTAATTTTCTTCTAAATGCAAATATGTTTCCCAGAAATATATGAAGGCTTTAAAAACAAAGGCACATTCTCTTTTCCTTAAATTATGGTTCTATAATGATTTTTATCAGTATCTTTTAGAGGGACATGGATAATATTATTTAGTCAAACAATTCTAGACCTTATCAAAAAATGTAAATTCCAAAGTAAAATTACCCAATTTGTGAGCTTTATTATCACAAGTAAAATAATGTACTATTTTAAAACTTCAAGCATTTTCATTTGAATTATAAGAAATGCAAGCAATTTTCCTGTTGATCATGTTATTAACCAACTACATTGTCTACTATCATTACAAAATGCCAAATTTAATCAAAGCACTGTACCTCATGATGGGTGCTTGTAAATCCAATATTTTCCTCATCTCTAAATTTAATGCTGGAGCACAGTGTTCTTCCTTAAAATGGGGTGTCCCCTTCATCTGTGGACTTCCTCTAAAAGAAACAGCATAGGGTTAAAGAGAAATACTATGGCTAATTTACACCCAATTAAATAAACATAACTAAACTTAAAAGTCAGGTGTTTATCCTTTAGATTCTCAAATGAAAAACAGATAAATTCTATTGTAATAGATGTATCTATTTGTTAATTGGAAAAAAGTAAGTTTGATCAATGTAACTTATATTGGAGAACTGAAAGTTGAGATTCTATGTGTGGGGGGCACGTAAAATAAAAGTGAAGTCTCAAGAGAACCAACAGACATTTTGTTTAAAATGACTAAGGAAACTCTGTGGATTGGAAAACAATGGAAGAAATGTATTATTCCATATACAGTAAATGTTTCAAGAGGTCCACATTGTTACTTCATCTAATCTTACTCCACACTTCATTTTTCATTCCTGTTCTTTGGTTATATTAGAACTAAGTCAGATTCAGGAATATAATTAGATGTTTCAAAAATTATTTGGTAATAATAAAAAGCAAAATATCTAAATTCTAAAAAAAATCCATGGGTGTTAAATGGCTGCACTATAGTGGCTAGGTCAACGCCAACATAATTAAGCTGCCACATAATCCCCCTCAAAAGGACTACATGAGTTGATTTGGATTCTTTATCTCCATGTGGCATAAGAGCAGGCTATTATTCACTACACCACTTTTCTTCTTCAATGCCTGAGTTGGGATTTAATATAATCTGTCCCTTTTTTTACTGTTGGCTATCAATCTTGGCAATAATTAGCCTGCTGACATCACCTCTCTTCCTTTCCACTCACCTACAATCCTAGTACTATTTAAAATTACATGCAAAAGTTGAATAGACCCAATGGCTTTTAAGGTTCCTGGCTTTGTGAAAATTCTGTTCCTCAGAAACTTAGCTTGCTTACTTTTTATTTCTGGACTATTTTTCACATGTTTGGTGGTGGCTTTTTGCCATCTTGTCCTGCTACTGCAACAACATGGAATATTTATTTCTATATCTGAATGGCTGAGCCAGTTAAGTTAGCTACACGAGTTCATGTTCAACTAATATATGATCAACATAAAAGTCTGTAAACTACACATGGGTAACATTTAAACTGCTAATCATATACTCTGGTAAATCTCCTGAGACATTCTCTAAGTATAACTGGTTTTAGAGTTAATTTGTATTTTTCAAAGTAGTACAGAGACAGTATTTAAAATTCAAATATTGCTAGAAGGCTTGTGAAAAAGAAAAAAATATATATACACATAGTGGTAGTCTTCTCAGTGGAAATTTAAGATATATCTACTAAATGCAGGAGATTCTTATTAGAACAAGCTAACTCCTGAAGACAGCTTTGAGTTAAAATGGAGAAAACAAAACAAAAACTAAATATTTGATATTAACAAATTCCTATATTTTTAGATTAGTAACAGTGTGATTTTGTTTCTTTAAAATATCTGTTACAGATAAAATTGAAGTAGTAAGTATTGAATGATAAAATATCTGGAATTTGCTTTAAAACTTTATAAGTATGCATAGAGGAAAGGGTAAGGCTAATGACTCTGGGAGATGAATATATGGGTTTTCATTATATTGTTCTTTCTAATGTATATTTTTACAAATTTTGTAACAATATATTTCCCTCCTCATATAAAAGGTTTTGTGGTAGTGTCTTATATTCTCATGAGTGGATATGGGATTGAATCTCACACACACCCTTCTTTTTGTAGTGTTAGGGATCCACCCTAGCCCTCAATGATATTCATATTCATAAACTTCACCCTTTTTTCCCCTCTTCCTATCTCAAAGTTCTTAGATCGTTTTATTATCCATTCTGAATTTTCAGAATGATGTACTTTACACAAGTATGTGAATTTATATCACTGTGCTGGGCACTTGACCTGTTCAAACCAATGATGTCTTTAGGTCTACAAAATTTACATATTTTGTTTCCTTAATATATTAATAGAGTTCTTTGTTTCCTGTTATCTCTTTCTGGAGCTCTTGTTCAATTAGATACTGAGCCTCTTATTAACCTCTTTTTCTATTTTGTTCTATATTCTATGTCCAGGGAGAGCCTTTCAACTGTGTCATGCTTTTCTTTTCATCCCACAAACTTTCTTAATTGCTCTCTCCTTTTTCTTCTTAGGGCATCATGTTTTGTTTCATGAAGCAATACTGTCTGAGGTAATTGATTTTCATTTCCTTTAAGTATTTTTGTTTCCTGTATTGTGTGCTCCTTTAAAATGCCCCAACCTCCAGCTTTCTGTTATGTATCCTTCTTTTACATTAGAAAATTTCCTAAGATAGCTAACAATTTTTGGTTGGTTGCTCCTATTTAAAGGGTCATCATTAAAAAGCTAACAATAATGCTGTGTATATATGTATAGGCCGGGCTTGCCAACTGTGGGCTTCAGGGTAATGTCTAGCTGGCTTTTTTGCTGAGGTCTTCAAATACTAGTTAGCTGTTAAGTAGCTTTTCTGGAGTAGTTCAATTTGTATAGGAAAGAGTTCTCAATTATGCCTAAGATATTTAGGCATGAAAGACAGACATCTGGAGCCAAGCAGGGAAGGGAGACTTAATGAACTACTATTCAGTATGACAAGTTTCACTTAATCCTGATCTTTAGTTCAGTACCTCTCACTTAACCCCACTCTGTGTTTGGAATTCCTCTGGTTCAACCAGACAATGTACTTCCTGTCACCATGAGATGAAAACAAAGGGTCCTTATCCATATCTGGATTTTAAAAGCAATAAGTCTGTGGTACTTACTAGTCTCCATCTAACTCCTGAGCTTTTTTGGGTATATGAATGAATCAAAATGATTTTTGTATCCTACAGGTTTAAGCCCTCAGGTTTAATTAACTCTTCATAAGTCATTTACTCTTTTTCTTCCAATTTTTAGGTCAATGACTACCTTTAATGACCTCTAAATGTTGTTAAAGATAAAAATATTTCAAATTTTTGTTCTGTTGATTTTCAAGAGGAAATTACCTCACTACCTCTTAAAACAGGAAAGCCTATTTTTCTTTATATAAATACGTTCCTCTATTATAGTGAAGTATTATAAGAATTCTGAAAAAATTAAATAAATCCTGATTTTTCTTATAAAATCAGTGGGAAATTTCACAGAAAAAAATTCCATTCTCTCTTCTAAACAAACTAAAATACAGCAAAATCAAAAACAACATTAACAGGAATTGGGGTTGTGGCTCCGTGATAGAGGGCACTCCTGGCACTTATGAGGCACTGGGTTCGATTCTCAGCACCATATAAAAATTAATAAAATAAAGGTATTGTGTTCAACTACAACTAAATAATAACAACAACATTAGCATCTGGGCGCAGTGGTGTGAGCCCATAATACCAGCAGCTTGGGAAGCTGAAGCAGGAGAATCATAAGTTCAAAGCTAGCTTCAGCAACTTAGCAAGGCCCTAAGGAACATTGAGACTCTTGTCTCAAAATAAAAATAATAAAAGGGCTGAGAATATGGTTCAGTGGTTAAACGCCTCTGGGGTTCAATCCCTGGTACAAAAAAAAAAAAATACAAACAAAAACACACACACACACACAATAAAAATACTATTACTTATAGTTTATCAATAATTTGATAAAGTATAGCCATCAAATGGTTATAAAAGAGTCAAAGAAGATGAAGACAAAACTGAAGATGAAAGGATAAGTTGAAGCCAGATTATGAAAGGCACTAAAAGCTAGGAAAATAGTAATAACTCAAGCATTTACTATGCATGAAACAGTGTACAAAATATTCTAGACACATTATCTCAACCATTTATAATCTTCTGAGATAAGCTTTATTATTCTAATTTTTGAATTTTTTTTCTAACAAGAGAAAAAACTAAAACTTAAAAACACTGAGAACTTTAGTCACAGAGCTAATAAGTAAAGGAGCTGACAGTTGAGCTTTTGGGTTCAGTACTAGGTTCTAAGCAACTGAAAATTATAGTTAAGAAAAGAAATGTGATAACCTTTGTTTACACAAATAAATAATGAGATAAATGCTGAAGAGTAGATGGAGATGAAATAGGAGAGGGAGTGGAGATTGTAGATTAATTAGAAGACAGTTATGTTTCTACATTTGGGCACAAACAAATATGGTGGTTACTTGCCTACTTAAAATTAGGAATGGCCCCATAACTTACTTTGGTCAAAATATAAGAATAAAGGATTTGTATTCCTTATGGGTAGAAGATTTAAGATCTGCTATTCTGTACACCATGTTGTTTTAAAACTCTGTGATAGGGATTTAGTTTAGGCTGAATGACACAGCATACTAAATCAAATAACTGAACGTTGTTGTTGTTAGACTTTTGTCCAGTAAAACCCAACAAATTGCACTGGAAAACAAACTGCTCTGTAATCCCAGTCACTGAGGAGGCTGGAGGAGGATTACAAACTGTCAGTCTGAGCAACTTAGTGAGACTGTCTCAAAATAAAATTAGAAGGGCTGGGGATACAGCTCATTGGTAGAGTGTTTGCCTACTGCTTAGTATGCATGAGGCCCTGGGTTCAATTCCCAGTGCTGCAAACAAAACAAAACACCAAGTTAATAGTTTGTAATGATTCTACATGACTGGTTTTATAAACTACGTGGTCTGAGATATAGAAAAATTAGATATACAATAAATTTGAAAAGATCCGCAGTGAGACACATTATATTTGAATGTCAAAAGACAAAAACGGGCTGGGGCTGTGGGTCAGTGGTAGCGCACTTGCCTGGCATATGTGAGGCACTGCATAAAAATAAATAAAACAAAGGTCTATCAACAACAGCAGCAACAGAGGTAACTCTTCACATAGAAGGGATTCTCCTTTAGACTAACAGCCAATTTTTCATCAAGTACTAGGGAGACCAGAAGCAAAGAAAGAAAAAAATGATGAAGAATTGTATTCTTCAAAAATAAAGGAGAAACTAAGAGATTCCAGATAAAAAAGTTTATTTCCAGATAAAAAAAAGTTGAGGGAATTTGACAAAAGTAGACTTGAACAACAGGAAATGCTGAAG